CAATGAAGAAAGTGCACGGATCTGTTGGCACACACAGCGTTATAGTAATAGCTAGTGGGGAGCTATCAAGTGCGAGTCCATCTTGGCACAATTTGTATAAGGCCAAAGGGAAAAAGAGTGAAAAACGAGACTTGTTGAATGCAGGATAGGTCCCGCATTCCTGTTGTCTTTACAGCAAATATACGGTCACACGTTTAGGAAGAGCGATTGGGATTTATATGCATACACAACATACACAACATCGGTTTATATACTCACTTGGTACGTTTCGAGTGTGCGTAGAAACACGCACATAGAGCTCAATCACAAAAATGTAGTTTTCTTTGTTAGCTCGCTTTTTTTAAGATTTCAGAGTAATCCACTTTGAGGCATTCAGTTGCTGTGTTTTCCCCTCGGAATAAATATGATGGAAATGGAAAAACAGGACGAGCGCGCTGGAAATCTCGTTATTGGCGAATGCTACTTATGGTCATGCTGCTGCTGCTGCTGTAGATGATGGCAAAAGCAAAATGATGAGATGAAGCAAGAAGTCCCCCCTTTTTTTGTAATAAAAATATTGTTGCTATTCCCTGACGGTTCTCTGTCTCCCACCTCTTTTGTTATTGCCCAAAAAAGAAGTGGCAGGCTTTGTAATAGTGTCTCTTCTTTACGTTTCCCGGCGCAGGGTGTTGCTACCATTCATCCTCTCGTCTCCTCCCGCTTCCAAAATGTTTCAGTGGAGACGCAGCCTGTAAACGAGCGCGCTCTCCCTTCTCTCTCTTTGCCTTGCTTGGATCCCTCTGTTGCTTCGCTCTGTTCCTTCGGAGGAGCGTCACCTTCTGCACTATTTTTTCCCCTCTGCGCTCCCCTCAGACGATACATGTGGGCGGATTAGAGAAGGCACAAGACAGCGGTGGGAGGACCCGCTGAATTCACGGGCTAATTTCTCACACGGCCGCCGAACTTAATAAACACATATGCTATAAAACAAACACACACCCCGTAGTGATTTGCTGTCACGTCTTTTTTTAATGGCTTGTCTTTTTTTTTTTTTTTTTTTTTCCTCTTGTGTTTCCTCTCGTTTAGGTTGCACTGTGGTGGACGGACGCACACCATTTTGTCTACAGGTTCCCAGACATACAGCTATTGAAGGAGCAGGTGGTGCACATAACAAATCCAGAACAGACAATATTATTCAACGACATTATTATGAATGACATACATGATTAAAAAACAACATTTGATGGAGCAGCAGACTATGCTTTAGAGACACTCAATTTCCAATCAAATCATTAGGATCATTGTGTTCATGTGCCATCAGTCATAGTAACGCGCACAGATCAATGTAATCCAGATTAGCAACGGATCAATGGATCAATTACAAAGAGAAGACTTTGTATTGGTTTAATAATCAATGCCTTGTGTTATACATCTTAAAATGTCAATCTGATTGTTTTGGTTTATAAATATGAAGGCACAAGGGCACGCTAAGTTTATTTCACCTGAGTGGAATAGAAAGCGGAAATGAATTATCTCTGCAAACGTATTTTTATTGATTTTCTGTATTTTTAAATACTCCTAATGGCACATTTAATGGTCAGATCAGTTAAATGGCAACCCAGTGTGTTGTTATAATAAAATTAAAATATATATTTGATCAAGAGCAATTGAAGTATGTCATTGTGATTTTACACATTAATATTAAATAGGATTGCTGCCAGGTTAAAATACTCTACTCAGGGTGGAACTTTCTATCAAGTTATGTAAAACTAGAAAAGCACTCAGAGAGCGCAGACCTCCGCCAAGGACTACCCCCATTTTTTATATAAATTGCGATAAAATCAGTCTTCTGGATCAGATCCGGATCAGCCTTTGGAATATGAAAGAGGATCCCATTGTCCATCCCTGAGTCAAATTTCATGGGGTTTGGTCAATAATTAACCGAGATATTGAGAAACAAAATTTTTGGCCACATTTACCACAATATTAACTAAAATTTCAAAGTGATCCAGAATCCAGGATTTCTTCCGGATCACCCCCAAAATGAAATCAGTTCTTCCTTTTCACATTTCCAACAAATCCTGAAAATTTCATCAAAATCAGTCCATAACTTTTTCAGTTATGTTGCAAACAAACAAACAAACAAACGCCAACAAAAACATAACCTCCTTGGTGGAGGTAATGAAATACTGAACAGAACTAATAAGAGTTGCTGTTATTACTTAAAGGTGCACTCTAACATTTCTATTGGAGGGTCTGACACCTGCTCGTCTCCATGGAGACATTATTGCTTTGTCTGGAATGTTCCAGTGTTCTCCATGGAGAGAAGCAGGTCATGTCACCAAGCAAAGTTACAGGTCAGCTGCGTAGAGGGGCAACCCTGTAGACCCTGTAGAGGGGCAACCCTGTTTAACAATGCTTGCATGTATTTTTGGGCAATTACAACTGCGACTGAATAAATGCAAGGTAGATCCATTTAAAGCCATTCTGTGGAACATTCCAGGGAAAGCAATAACATCTTCATGAATACAAGCAGAACCCTACAAGTAAAGTAGTGCATTTTTTGCAAGCTCCAAATTCCTATTAAAGAACTAACACTTGGCTGCAAATTATGGGTGAACTTTGAAACACAATTTGCAGTTGACCTAATGCTCTCTCGATCTCTAAGTAACTCCCGATTAGGGCGCTTTAAGCATGTCAGACAAACTACGAAGCCTGACCATCAGCAGTCTCAGGGATGCACTTATCGTCTGGACACTCCTTAAACCAACGTCATCTCATGAAAATTACAACAGTCGTAAAAGGGCAAAGGCCTATCACTGAGGCGCACCGACCACGAAAACTTCTCAAGAACCCAGTGCGGACATGTGGCTGACTGCAAAATATTGCCCAAGTGCACTTAATATAGAACAGGAAAAATAATGTTAACTGTAGACATGATAAAAGTAGACAGAACAGCTCAGGTCAAACTACTGTATTCTTTGTTTTCTATTGTACTGAGCTTACATATTCAAGTTGTACTGGACAGAAGCACTATTAATATTTTAACAGACCCATCTTTTATGTATTGTAAAGTGGTCCTTTTCTCCTTACAGTCAGTATAGTATTTAAAAGGAGTAAATCTAACCATGAAAGGCTTAAGTCTTACTCCACGCTGATAATATTGTTTAATTTTTTATGTTTAACTTGGCATAATTTCTGTTTTCTCTTGTTCAGAAGTCTCTAAGGCCTGTCACATCCAGGAGTATTGGTCTACACAGAGAGAGATATGTCAAAATCTCAATCTCGAGAGAGAGAGAGTGAGCAGTATATATCAAATATTTTTAAAATGGTGTTCTAGCTTTATAGTCATATCATTCTTTTTAACACTTGTATGACATGTTTTTGTTGTTTTGTGTGTAATACAGAGTCAGAAATAAAATGGTGTCATGGTCAAACAATTTGCCTTTAAGTACTTGGGAAGGGGTCACTTAAGTGCCTGAAGCTGAGAAGGACAGTCCTAAAATACTGGAGAGGGCGTGTGGATTAATGCTTAAACCCCATAAATGTTCAACTTTGTTCTCACTAAGAGTGAGCATTAGTCTGCATAGGCACATCCTGGGTGAGTCTCCTGGCGGCAGCAGAGTAGAGCTCATGCATAAGACAGAAGCATACACAAGCATATATACACAGTCCAGTCATGTCAGTCTCTATGTGGATTCTGGCCTTGAGAAGGTGGACCTCCACAATGAAAACCAATGGTTCAATAGCCTTTATTGATGCTGTCCATCACTAATGGAAAACCACTGTAAAATGATCTGCTCCTAACATTTCAAGAATGAAAACGTCATTCACAGATGAAACGGGCACCGTGATCTTGAGCTGAGTGTTTTATGATGCTTCAAGCTGCTGGGCTGCACACATGAAATAAGTGAGTCCATGTGCACAAATCAAGCCCTGCAGAGGTTCTGTGTGCCATAGATCAAGCAGTAAATGTCAATATTGACTCTGATCATTCAGACAGACAGTGAGCTGGGGTATGGGAGACTGTGAGCTACATTTTATTCAATTACTAAGTATTATGCTTAGTAGCAGCGGTAATGCCTCCAATTACATTGTAAGCTTTGTGAAATGAATTGATGCAATTTAATTTTTAGGGCCATGTTAGGCCGATCACTGGCAGTCAAAGCAAGGAAAGCTTTTCAGCTCAGGAAAAGAAATCATTTGTTGCTACAACTGTAGAATGTCTTTCCTGCAACATTAAATAGACAGGTTGATAGAGAAGTCAAAGTAAAAGAAAATCAAGCTTATGCATTTATCACAAAACCATGCTGTCTGCTGGAAAATAAATTTAAGTTTCATCTTGGTAAATTATGTAGGTCCATTTGGCCTAAGAAATTAAATCAAACAGAAGATTTGGCACTAAATTGATTTGCTGTCCATTGTTGATGAATCGTGGCTGCAGTTATAGGGTGGACTATTCTACTACAGACAAAAAAATGACACACAACAGGTTCTGAGGGACCAAAGTCAGTAAAATGTTTTGAATTTAATACATTTACTAGGTAATCAGTTTAGTTACTAAAATAAATATGAATGTCTTAGTTAAAAAATATTAAATGGACACGTTCTGGTTGAATAGATTATTAATTTTATATCGTATTATAATTCTACTGTGAGCACCACATTTGGTCACTAGAGGGAGCCAGCTAGTCAACTAGGGAGTTAACTGTTGTTGATCAAATGATAAACTTCAGCAACTTTTCTGTAAACTGTAAAGTGCCCAAAACCTGAAATGTATAGATATTATTGTCTATGAAAGCTAAGCTCTAGTGATTGCCTTCAGTTGGTGTCCTACGGTACAGTGCTCCTTATGAATGGTCTCATTCCTGGGTGGAGTTCAGACCAAGTGGGCTTCCTTTCTCCAAAGTAGGGCACAGAGTACATCTGCTTTTGAGTACTAAATCATTCTGACACAGTGTCTCAAAAAGAGAAGTTTTACTCAAGGAGACCATAACTCACAGCTGAAAGTAATAAAAAGCTTTAGAGAAAAGATTAAAACATTTTTAGTTTTATTATGAAATTATTTGATTCCTAATGGCTGCATTGCACAGACCACAGAGTTTTAGTTTGCCTGGTGCCTTGAAATGAAACATTATTTACAGTCTGCAGGGCACATTCATGAAGCACAAATCACAGGGACACTCCCTGGGCACACAGTGGCTGCAGCAGCAATAACCTCACTGCATCTTCAGCACTTTCATAGTCACAGCCTGTGTCTCTGCCCACACACCTTATACTCCACTTTTTGTTTTTGAGTGAATGCCAATTATAAGTTTGTTTTTTTAAAATAAATAAACAGATGGGCTGAAATAAATCACAAACTTTTGTAAAGAATGTATTTGTTGCATAACCAATGCTGAATGTTTGGAACAAAACAAATAAGTATGTGGCATTACATGTAACATGTTACGTTACATATACATAAAATGTTATGGTGCGATTATAAATAAAAATGACGAATGTACTTTTTGGCGTAACAATGTCTTTTTATAACAAAAATGCTGTATATTGTAAAGGTATTACCAAACCAATTCATCCAGTTAGTTATGCATGTATCTATGGGAGCCATTAGTTGTTTCTATTAAAGAAAGCAAACTTTTGAGTCCGAGCATCACCTTCGGTCAGGGGGGCAGGCCTGTCTGCACAGTCGTGGTTTTGCTCAGAGCAGGTTTTCTCCTCCTCTTTTTGTCTGAGCCTTTGTTCTTTATTCCTGCCTTAATCTGTGCTTCCCACTGCTTCTTCACCGTTGTGTAAAGTCGCATAGTGGCCTGTGCATCTTGAACCTGTAAACATAAGACAAGCTTGAGATTTCGAGGGAAAAATAGATGATCATCTTTTGTAGCTGGCACTGACTTACAGATGAGTGTTCGCCTTGTTGGACTTTAACATTTAGAACTTCTCTACAGAGCACTCTCAGCGCTGGACGACCACTCTAGAAACATTAGATCAGACATCAAACACTAGACCATTATGGAGGGACACTGCATATAATATGGCAGCCACTTTATCAACCTAATTAACATTTTTGTATGTATTATCCATCCATCCATCCATTTTCGTCTGCTTATCCGGGGCCGGGTCGCGGGGGGAGCAGCCTAAGCAGGGACTCCCAGACTTCCTTCACCCCAGACACGTCCTCCAGCTCCTCCAGGGGGACCCCGAGGCGTTCCCAGGCCAGCCGAGAGACATAGTCCCTCCAGCGTGTCCTGGGTCTTCCCCGGGGCCTCCTCCCGGCGGGACATGCCCGGAACACCTCCCGAGGGAGGCGCCCAGGAGGCATCCGGAACAGATGCCCGAGCCACCTCAACTGGCTCCTCTCGACGTGGAGGAGCAGCGGCTCTACTCCGAGCTCCTCCCGTGTGACTGAGCTCCTCACCCTATCTCTAAGGGAGCGCCCAGCCACCCTGCGGAGGAAAACTCATTTCGAGCGCTTGTATCCGCGATCTCGTCCTTTCGGTCACTACCCAGAGCTCATGACCATAGGTGAGAGTAGGAACGAAGACTGACCGGTAAATCGAGAGCTTCGCCTTTCGACTCAGCTCCCTCTTCACCACAACGGTCCGATACAGCGACCGCATCACTGCCGAAGCTGCACCGATCCGCCTGTCAATCTCACGTTCCGTCCTTCCCTCACTCGTGAACAAGACCCCGAGATACTTGAACTCCTCCACTTGAGGCAAAGACTCCCCACCCACCCGGAGAGGGCAAGCCACCTTTTTCCGGTCGAGAACCATGGCCTCGGACTTGGAAGAGCTGATACTCATCCCAGCCACTTCACACTCGGCTGCAAACCGCCCCAGTGCACATTGCAGGTCCTGGTTCGATGAAGCCAACAGGACAACATCGTCCGCAAACAGCAGAGATGAAATCCTGTGGTCCCCAAACCGGACCCCCTCCGGCCCCTGACTGCGCCTAGAAATTCTGTCCATAAATACAATGAACAGAACCGGTGACAAAGGGCAGCCCTGGCGGAGTCCAACATGCACCGGGAACAGGTCTGACTTACTGCCGGCAATGCGAACACAGCTCCTGCTCCGGTCATACAGGGACCGGACAGCCCTTAGCAAAGGGCCCCGGACCCCATACTCCCAGAGCACCCCCCACAGGACACCACGAGGGACACGGTCGAATGCCTTCTCCAGATCCACAAAACACATGTGGACTGGTTGGGCAAACTCCCATGAACCCTCGAGCACCCTATGGAGAGTGTAGAGCTGGTCCAGTGTTCCACGGCCAGGACGAAAACCACACTGCTCCTCCTGAATCCGAGGTTCGACTATCGGCCGGATTCTCCTCTCCAGTACCCTGGCATAGACCTTACCGGGAAGGCTGAGAAGTGTGATCCCCCTATAGTTGGAACACACCCTCCGGTCCCCCTTCTTATACAGAGGGACCACCACCCCGGTTTGCCAGTCCAGAGGTACTGTCCCCGACCGCCACGCGATGTTGAAGAGGCGTGTCAGCCAAGACAGCCCCACAACATCCAGAGACTTCAGGTACTCAGGACGGATCTCATCCAACCCCGGAGCCTTGCCACCAAGGAGCTTGCCAACCACCTCAGTGACTTCGGCCAGGGTGATGGATGAGTCCGCCTCCGAGTCCCCAGCCTCGGCCTCCTCCTCGGAGGACGTGACGGTGGGATTGGGAGATCCTCAAAGTATTCCTTCCACCGCCGGACAACGTCCCCAGTCGAGGTCAACAGCTCTCCCCCCGCACTGTAAACAGTGTTGGTGAAGAACTGCTTCCCCCTCCTGAGGCGCCGGACGGTTTGCCAGAATCTCTTTGAGGCCGTCCGATAGTCCTTCTCCATGGCCTCCCCGAACTCCTCCCAGCTCCGAGTTTTTGCCTCCGCGACCACACGGGCTGCAGCACGCTTGGCCCGCCGGTACCTGTCAGCTGCCTCAGGAGTCCCCCCGAGCCAGCAAGGCCCGATGGGACTCCTTCTTCAGCTTGACAGCATCCCTTACTTCCGGTGTCCACCACCGGGTTCTGGGGTTGCCGCCGCGACAGGCACCACAGACCTTACGCCCACAGCTCCGAGCAGCTGCATTGACAATAGAGGCCGAGAATGAAGCCCACTCGGACTCCATATCTCCAGCCTCCCCCGGAATCCGGGAGAAGTCCTCCCGGAGGTGCGAGTTGAAGGTCCCTCTGACAGAGGGCTCCGCCAGACGTTCCCAACAGACCCTCACTACACGCTTGGGCCTGCCAGGTCTTTCCGGCTTCCTCCTCCGCCAGCGAACCCAACTCACAACCAGGTGGTGATCAGTTGACAGCTCAGCCCCTCTCTTCACCCGAGTGTCCAAGACACGCGGCCGGAGATCAGATGACACGACGACAAAGTCGATCATCGACCTCCGGCCTAGGGTGTCCTGGTGCCACGTGCACTTATGGACACCCTTGTGCTCGAACATGGTGTTTGTTATGGACAAACTGTGACTAGCACAGAAGTCCAATAACAAAACACCACTCGGGTTCAGATCGGGGAGGCCGTTCCTCCCAATCACCCCTCTCCAAGTGTCACTGTCGTTGCCCACGTGGGCGTTGAAGTCCCCCAGGAGAACAACGGAGTCCCCGGTCGGTGCACTGTCTAGTACCCCTCCCAAGGACTCCAAGAAGGCCGGGTACTCTGCACTGCTGTTCGGCCCGTAGGCCGACACCACAGTGAGAGACCTGTCCCCGACCCGAAGGCGCAGGGACGCGACCCTCTCGTTCACCGGGGTGAACTCCAACACACAGCGACTGAGCTGTGGGGCAATGAGCAGGCCCACACCAGCCCGCCGCCGCTCCCCGCGGCCAACGCCAGAGAAATGGAGAGTCCAGCCCCTCTCAAGGAGTTGGGTTCCAGAGCCCAAACTGTGCGTGGAGGTGAGGCCGACTATATCTAGTCGGTAACGCTCAACCTCCCGCACAAGGTCAGGCTCCTTACCCCCCAGCGAGGTGACATTCCATGTCCCCAGAGCTAGTCTCCATGTCCGGAGATCCGGTCGCCGAGGCCCCCGCCGTCGACTGCTGCCCAGATCTCTCTGCACCGGCCCCATATGGATCCTCCTGCGGGTGGTGGGCCCACGTGAGGACGGCCCCACGTCGCTCCTTCGGGCTGAGCCCGGCCGAGCCCCGTGGGGGGAGGCTCGGCCACCAGGCGCTCGCTGGCGAGCACCCACCCCAGGCCTGGCTCCATGTATGTATTACCACTATTATATTATTTTCTAAATTATTCTCTAATCAATTCAGGATTTGCTGAGACCCTAGAGATATGATTGTACCAAAGATTAATCAAATTGGCACGAAAAGGAGAAGCTAAATATCTATATAATTATATAGATGACCGTGTTAAACAGATGTTGCTAAACATTTTTTGTCAAATTTACCTTTGCCATTTTCTTAAAAGCCTCATACTTCTGTGTATCCCTGATTTTCTTTTTCGGATGATCCAAAAGTAGAATCTGAAAATTGAATGTTCTGTTATTACTTCAACCTTAAGAATGCTACTTCTTTAGATATAACAAGTTGGCTACCTTCAAGTCATTGTGGATGGCATGGCCAACCACAATTCGGCCTCGTAGGATTTCAGCAACTTCTTTGCGCACTGTGTCTATATCCTCACCTACAACACACAATCAATGTTATAATAGAATAATATTTATATGAACAAAACCATTATTTTACAGTGAGGTTAGGTCTTACCATCTTTGATGTCCTCTGGCCGTATCCCACTGACATGCGTTCTGTAATCAGTCACCTTTTCCGTTGGTTTTACATACTTGTCATAAATACATTTCCCAAACTGGTTTACGAGAGAAACACGAGCCAAGATGCTGTCCTCTCCATCTGGACCAACTCCAACCATCTCACAGTCAATGGCTACAGCTTTTGTCAGGCTGTGAGTAAACAAACACACAAACACACACACTAATAATGTTTCACTCATTTATGAGTTGGTATGTTACATTTTTTTAATATTAGAGGTAAATGTACAGTGAGAAAAAAATAACAATAACAGTCATGCTCATTAATAATCCCTTTTAATATTGCTTTCTAAACATGTAATTTTCATCAGTGTTGTGACACATTATATAGCTTGAGGTTGCTCAGTGTTTGTGTAATTGCTTAGTCGTCTAGGTGGGATAAATAGCAAAGGAGAAATTCAGTTCTGTCAACTGGACAAAATTTGCTCATCCACAAGTCATCCAAGTTGCCTCTTCAGTTCTGGTCAGATTGCTTGAGTCCACCAAAAGAACTGAGTATCTCCTTTGCTATGAGGTTGACTGTTTACCATGACATCGGCTATCATGATTGTGAAATAGACTGACTCTCTTACCCTTCAAATGCCTTCTCTTTGACCAGTGCATTCTCCACATCCTTACTCTGGTGAATTCCCAGTTTCTTCCTCATGATTTCTGCTGCTTCTGCTCCTACCGTTGCCTCCATGTCATCAGGGTCAACATCATCAAACCAGATGTCCTCTCTGCAATCAAAATAATATTAATGAAACTTAGATTACCCTTTTTTTTTTTTTTTTTTTTACACTAACAACATTGAGGTTTACTTACTCTGTGGGCTTCTTTGTTTTGGTCTCTGTTTTAAGTTTTTTTGATTCTTGTTTTTTGCCCTGTGTATTCTTTAAGTCCAATTTTCTTTTCTTTGTAGCAATGGAAGTTCTACTGGTCTCATGAACAGGGTCATTGTTCACAGTTAGGTCTTTAGCAGAACTGCTCTTAACAATCTTCTTTGCAGGTTTCACAAAGTCCCTTTTCTGGTGGATCCCCTTGTCATTAATAGTAGAATTTTTTGTAGATTTCTCCTTAGGAGCACCATTCTGTCGCTGTGGTTTCTCTGGATGCTTCTTTAACATCTTTATAAAAGAATTACATAATTGTCTAATAACTGATGATTTAGTGAAAACAAATATAAATTTTTACCTCTTGTAATGTTTTCCAGTTGGCAGAAAACTGTTGAGCATCTGCTGGTGGTAATATCTGGTAGGCTATATGGCTTTTCTGATGTTGCTTTTCTTGAGATTTTTTCTTCTTAAAATTTATACAGAGTTCTTTCTTTTTCTTTTTAACGGTCTTATTTTTCTTGTCACCTTTGGGCTTCTGTCCGTGGCTGCTACTTGTTGACACAATCGCTGACATTGTAAATATCTAACAAAATTATCTGTTATATTTGGGTAAGATACAGAGCAGATGCAAGCTATATTTCCACGATGCTTTAGCTGCACTCTTCGCTAATCTTGAACAAACGAACGAATATAATGTTTGGTCAAACCAAAGTGATAAAATAACTACATAAATGACTGCGCATTTTAAAAATTGCTATGAAAAACAAATTAGAAGACAAAGTTGATCATCTCTAAAGCCATGCTGAAATGTGTACGTTCCCACCGTGTAACAATGACATGTGTCCGAGTGTGAGCAACTATTCGCTTTTAACTTGCTCAATGTTTACCTTGTTTAAACCACAGACATAGTCGTGACTTTCTATTGTAAATTTTCATCTATCAAATTTAAACCGAATTCAATATTAGCAGCAGTCCAAATTACATCCTGTGTGCTTTAATATAACGTTACTTCTGATACGGAACCTTTCTTGGTACATGTTTCTCATCGGCCGCTGTATTGCAACGAGCTGCGTGGGTTTGGTGAGTGGAGAAATCATTTAAGCACTTAATTTACATTTATTTATTGACCCAGATGTCTCCTCAGCCTTAATGCTACGACACAGAGACACGTGTTTTCGAGGATTATTTACATTGTATGCATGTAGTTGTACTGTCCACTCATTATTAACGCAGTAACATCCTGTTTTCATAATTCCAGATTAATATGGTGGAAAACTCTCCCTCTCCTGTTCCTGAAAGGGGCATTTATGGCTTTGTTCTTTTCCTAGGCTCAGAGTTTGCTTTCTGTAAGTATGTTTATCGGCCTTAAACTAGAGTTATACAGGCTCATAACCATATCTGAAATTATGGCATCTAGAATTTGATGTATGATCCACATAATCGCTGTTTGAGGTTGGGTTTTCACACTCGCCATATTAAAGCAGCCAGCATGTTTTCTTTGAAGCTGAATAAAATTGCACCATTTTATATTGTTAAAAATATAATTTCACTTGTGATATTAATCATGAATGTTGTGATGCTATGTGATTACAAAATAATTAACAAAATATTCTATCAATTTTGACTTTGTATGTTCTCTCTCCTCAGTTCTCTATTGTGTGTGGGCTTTTGTGCCAGAAGAGTGGCTTCATTTTATTGGCCTGACTTACTGGCCCCAAAAGTAAGTAGTTTGTCACCCTGGATTTAGAAAATGTGCTTTTCTAACTTAATTGCTTTGTGTTAAGGTACTGGGTCCTGGCTGCCCCTATCTATTTTCTGGTTGGGTTAGTTGTTTTTGTAGTTGTTCTTTTTGGAGTGAACATGAACAATACAGCTCCACTAGATGCAGTGGACAACATCACAGGTAAAGAAAAAGACAAACATGGCAGAAATTAGTTGTATAAAAAGCATTCATGTATTGTATTCAATTCATTACAGATGTGTATGCTCAAAGCCAGAAACCAGAAGCATATGAGAAGGGAGGAGTGCCAAGACTAAAGGATGTTTCCATAAGTGATATAAATAATATGTTTTATTTATCTCCACCATCAGCAAGCGGAAGATGATTTTGTTATATTTTCATGCATTCTTTTGTCTCCCTTAATGCTCCCATCTGTATATGTATTTGTTTTTTTTATTACCAGTAGATGGAAGATGTAAAACCTGATTGGTTCCAGCTGCTTTTTCAGAAACATTCCACAGCATGACATTACACTGATGTCAGTTAACAAAAGCAGGTGGTAACACCAGTGCCCATTTACAGGTCAGATCTTTAGAGGTGAGCCCACTCATAGTAAGAATGCCTATTTTATGATATATTACGGTATAATTTCGAGCAGTGAAACTTCTTTAAAAAATCAAATGCTGGGTACATTTAATGTCATACGGTGGAACATTACAGGTAAACATCTCCCTGGAGACAAGCAGGTGTCTTACCTTCACCAGAAAAATGTATGCAGTCTACATGTAATTAATATATCTCATTAAAGTAATTGTTATTTATACAGAAGTGTGTGTTCCTGTATTTGGTTTACACATTCATTCATACCTACAGGAACGGCTAAAAGAGGAACAGAAACTGATGTATTAATATGTGTTCTTTAACACATGGTTAACTGCTGTAGCATTTATTCTGATTTGATTTGTCAAGGTAATTTGACTTAACACTGTGAATGGATTGTTTGGATGTTTGACCTTGGATGAGAAAGTGGTTTTATGTTTTCCTTAAGCATTAAAATACACGAATGTATTCCAGAGAGTAAAATCTTCATCTTTCTAATAAACGCAAATGTGTAGTGAAAATAAAGTTGAGAAGTAAAAGATACGAAAAAGTCATGTGTACTGCGCTGTTTTGTTGAATGAACATTCGCTTGCCACTGGAGGGCGGTAAAAAATTTCTGCACAGGAACTAAAGACTTCCGCTGCATTTCTTTCACAGCTGCATATTTACATTTTAGCTCTACTCATTCCCGTTAATTGACTTATCAGCCCGCAAATCTAAATATCCTCTGGGAAGCCACAAACCGGACAAAGATGGCGTACCCTCTGCCGATGTTGTTGGCTGCGTACGAGGCGCTAATTGACGACGAAGACGACGAGGTTTCAAGCTGCTTTGATGAATTTGATGATGAAGCTTTGTTTAATCTGTTTCACCTCACCAGACCGTGCCTCATGTTTATTGTGGACTCTATCCGCGCCTGTATGCACGATGTCTCGCCAAAGCATCCTCCGCTCTCGGTTGACGCTTTGGTTATGGTAACATTGAACTATTACGCACACGGTATATCCTCAGCATCTCTCCTGACCAAACTGGGACTCACTCACACACACTGCCCTGCCATCATCAGTCTGGTATCTGGGAAAATCTCTGAAATGACAGAGAAGTTTGTCTCTTTACCCGAAACGGAGGAGGCTAAAGCTACAGTCGCATCTAATATAGAAGCAATATGTGGCATTCCCAACGTTCTGGGCATCCTGGCATCGCCGCATTTTCGGGTGCGAGTGTCTCCCTATGATAAGGAGGACTACCGGACCTTTTTCAGTCCGCTTGGTTACACTGCGGTGGTGAGCCAAATCATATGCGATTCTGATGGAAATATCTTGTGTGTTGAGAAGTGTGAAGTGGGCAGCACGCCTGAGCAGGAGATGTGGACGTCTTCAGTCAAAGGGAAAGAGATAGAGGAGGGCAACTATGGAACATATTGGTTAATAGGCGAGTTCCCCTACATTTTTTATATTCAAAATTTCTGTCATATACCACAGTTATGCCTATTTGACTCCCAATTTGAAATAAAATACTTAGTAATAACAACTGATACACTATCGTCCTATATGGGCCCAGAGATAACAGCAATGTGAAAAAAAAAAAAAAACAATTGTGGGTAATGTGTGTTCTTTTTTTCGTTTTAGCTGGTAAAGGCTATGTCCAGAGCAAACATGTACTGACTTCTGTAACAGACCCGTCCAATGAGTGCGAGATCCGATTCAACGAGGCTCACGCAAAGATCCTGGGCATCATGTGGGCCACCCTCAGCTGCCTCATGAGGCGCTTCAAGGTGTTGCTGCAGCTCGGATTTGCAAAGGAAAACTGTCTAGACCAAAAGGCCAATATTATCAGAGCCTGCTGTGTACTTCACAACATTGCTAAGAAGTTTTCAGTGCCGTCACTACCAGTTGGTTCTGAACCTGTGTATCCAGGTAAACAGCACTGTGGGACTTTAGAAGTGAGCAGTGCAGCTCTAAATGCAAGGCAAGAACTCATCAACAGAGTGTTTTCTACTCCTTCATGCACCGATGATGCACAAAGTGAACTGAGAACCGAGAAGGAAGTGTAAGCAATGTGAACAAGCAGCAAAGGAGATGTTAATTATGGCTACTCAGACACAATCCACAATCACAAGTTTTCACAAAAGAAGTTTCTCAGACACCATAAAATATTGTTTTGTAATTATTGTTAAATAAAATAATATTTGTTACAGAAACAAAACAGTTCTTAAAACAAGACATTCATTGGTCCTATGCAGTATGAACCGTGAAATGCCAGGAATTATAACAATGCTTATATTTTAATTGTAGTATTCTGCAGTTAATCCATATTTCTTCATTTTTCTGTCAGTAGTTGATTTTGTTCTTTTAAGTAAATGTCCAGAGAAACATCCAGTTAATACTACAGTACAATCCACTTAATAACAGCATGAATTAAATGCTTAAAAAGTGCTTCACTTTTCACATAAGATTAAGATTTATTCATGTTGTTCTGAAATTCCCTGAGTGCAGTGGCATTTGCATAGATCAGTTCGTTCTCATAGATATTTTCATCATGCTTTTCATTCTTCATCAGACAGTCCAGGATGCACTGATGTAGAAACACATACTGTGACTGCAAAAGCATAAAAAGAGGAAGCTTTAATATGTAGAACTCTTTTATGGCAAACACTTCCTTAAACCAACAGATTAACATCATTTGTTAATAAAATTTACCTCAGTTTGTACCATGTGTGGTCGGTTTAGGCGCATCTTATGCACAAAGCCGTAAATGTCAACTGCTTTTTCTTTTTGCATCTGCTGCAGCAACACGTCCAATGCTATTATAGTACCTGTCCTCCCCACTCCAGCACTGTCACAAAAAAGAGAGTTGAGATCTAGTTTCAAAGGGCACTTGTTCTTATCAGCACACCTAGTTTATTAACCAAATAAATACATTGATGATGTTAACAATAGGGATGGGCATTCGATGAAATTTTCTTAATCGATCGTCGAGAGAATTAACGATCGATTATCGATTAATCATTAACGTTTTTATATTAAAATGATCATCATTATTATTACTAGCTGCACTCCTAATCTGCATAAATAAATTCAACTTTACGACAAATAAACGGTAACCACTCTAGAGCCACATCAGCCCGTTTATTATAATGTGTTTAGTTCAGTTTTGCGCAACCCTCACAGAAACGAAACTTAAAACCGCATCGCTAATTTGCATAAACTCAGCGAAGATAAAAAACTCCAGCTCTTGTGCGTTGATGCAGTCAATTTCTGTCGGATTAAAAGACACGACTCAGTGGAATACAGGTTAGTGTGACCATATTTGCGTTTGTCAAAACCAGGACACCGTACGGGAGGTGGGGACTCGTCATCGACATTGCGCGACTCTCACCTGGTAAAGCTTTTTCCCACTGGACACCGAAACATATGTGCTGCTTTGTACACTGTGCACAAGGACTCACACTTGTCCCGACCGGAACGGAAAGTGTGGAATTTCTTGTACAAGTCATCTTTAAATACGCATATGCACTTCGGTACGTTGCAGACTGACCGACTGTTTGTGTTTGCTCGCTCCTTCTGAGTGCAGAGAGACACATGTACGGACCCCTGTTTGGTCACGCTACGCACAGCAACCTACACTCGGTTTGTCGATAAAAATATACGTAATCGATGAAATTCTTAATGATCAATTATCGATTAATCGACTAATCATGCCCATCCCTAGTTAACAATAATGCACCCAAAAATCCAGGTTTGTTCTCCATCATAAACAGGAGATAATATATTTGTGTCTGACAAACTGTACCTGCAGTGGACCACTGTAGGCGTCCCTGCAGCTTCTGTCTGCATGTGTTGTCTAACCAGCTCCCTGAACTCAATCAGAACTTGTGTTCCCTGTGGGACTCCGTGGTCTGGCCAGGCTGTGAAGTGGAAATGCTTCACTGTCCGCTCCTCCAAGGTGCGACTCTGCAAAAACAACAGGAGAGATGATGGCACCGTCTATTTCTAGTCTAACAGAGCTTGTAAGTCTATGTCCTATATAAAACCTTGTGGGAAGAATTTTACATGTTCAGTAATAGCAGAATATAATAAAGGGGCAATATGTAGCTTTCTAGTGGAAGGCCTGCACCTGTTTGTCTCCATGGAGATCTTATTGCTTTGCCTGCTTAACACCACAAACACATTTAAACCTACATGTTTCACTGTAAATTCCCTGAGTGTCCAGTCAGGCAACTTCTTCTCAGAAGTTGTGAACACCTCGAAATCTCCACACTGACGAGGGTTGCTATCAGGCCAGTACTGTTCACATTTAACCTGGAGAGAAATAAAATACAATTAAAACAGTTGTCAACGTGTTTTTAAAGCTCTCTTAAATTTGTCTCTTACCCGTCCTCCCTCAGTGCAATTGGTTACCATGATAATGCCTCTCACTTTCTGCTCCCAGATCATTCTCCAGAAGTCATTGACTGTGGATGGCAAAGGGCCTTGGGCTGCGATGAATTCTCTATCGCTATTGTAACCCTAGCAATCAAAAAGTCATAATTATTCACCGGCAGGTTATGGCCATATCTGTTGGTATACATCTGAATACGTACAGGCATGTAGTTGGCATTTATGTAGTCACTTTGAGGAGATGAAGTCAGTTTTACACGGCTTCGGTCATCTAGATTGTGAGCAAAGTGATTCACACCTGTATTGCCACCCAGTGAAGATCTATGCTTTGTACAGTTATTAACAAATAGCCTACTTACATGGCAAAACATTGATGAAGCGATTTTTTGGTTTGTTTTCTGGTGTTGTTGCTGCATTCTGGGTCTGCTCTGTCCCAACACTAGCAAGTTCCTGCATGAGAAATTACATGTGAAGGTCAAAAATAAATACTACCTAACAGATGAAACAGCATGTATTGAGTGTAATTTTCAGTAGCAGGTAACAGGAAATTTAGATCACCACTGGACAATAAGAGCTCTGTAAAGTTCACCCCGGTCAGGACAAAATAAATAAAAAGAATATAATAAATATTACAAACCTCATAATCTAGGCTGAATCCTTTATTTTCATCTGCACTTAACTCATTGAAGTGACCAGGAAACTTTTCCAAAGGTATACGCCTAAAATATTATTAACAACATTTGCATAAAATGAAATAAATGGTTAACTTTAAGATAAATGTTTAAACACACTTTTTTACTATGGTCTTGGCTCCACCATTTGATAACTTCTTATGACTGCTGGGAAGAAATAAAGAGTAATTTACTGATTTAGTAAATGATTGATAGATGATAGCAGTCATTCTGCCAACCTAAATATGTCAGGTCTTCTTAACATAATGAAGGCAACCACGCAGACCAGAACAACAAAAATAAATACACCAAAGAAAGCTCCTGCAATGACTCCTATAATCAAACCACATCATCACATCAGTTGTACAGATATACAGGCAATGATTGTACGAAATATAGAAGAATAGTATGACAATGAAACTCACCCCTGGCATCAGTGGCACATGTAAAAATAAAAGGGCTGCTTCTCTGTCGTCCAGATATTGAGGAAATGTTTACTTGATATTTTTTGGCCGGTTGTACATTTTTTATTACAGCATAGGACTTATTTTCTTTCACGTTATGCACATTATTGGAGACAATGATTTCAACTGAATCCCAGACACCACTTGGACTGTCCCATTCAATATAGACTGAATAACCAGCATTCCAGTTCTTACACTTCGCAGTCAATCTAGGGGGAACTAAAGAATAAATTATTAAATTACACAGTACAACATATACAAAAATGTAAGCAAGTATTTTAAATAATTTCACACATTCAGACAGAGCATCCTATTATTTTAATGTTTTGTATTGTGCTTATTTTGAATAATTTGTACTGCATTCATCATACTCCTGGGTTTCAGATGATACCAAGCTCTACTTAACAGATGGTGGGCAAGTATGTTTAACAAGTTTGTTTGTTAATAATACAAATTTAAATTAAAACATTGGATTTTGTAAATATCTTTTATGAAAATGCCATTTAAAATAACATAACATGATCACAATTCCCAAGTCACCAATAAATTACATATAGAATGAAACATATAAAACATGGATTTAATAGGGAAAAAGAGCTTTGACAGTTAGTAATATATTACCATGTATCTACCATAGACAAATCATATAAAAAGATGTCATTTGTAAAAATAGAATGGTGAAGGTGACAAAAAAAAAGGAAGTGGCCTTGAACGGAACATTGTGGGGTGAAATGAAATGGCATGAGTGTTTGAAATCACTTTTTGTTCATACACGTTCTGTTTCAGACTGGTCCAGTTGAAATTGTGAATAGACAAACAAAGGTGTATCCATAAAAGTAGCCAGTGAGTGTATGAATGTCTGTGTACAAGGTAGTACTTACTGGTATTGAATATGTAATTGCACTGCTCTAGCTCTTCATACATCAGCTTCATGGTATAGTTTGCTCCAGGGTAAAGGCCAGTGAATTCTATTTGCTTATTGGAGCCAGAGTTGAGATGCAGTGAGCCATTGGAAACAGTTGCGTTTGTGAACTCACCCTCAACCAATCCTACGATCGACGTCCCTTTAACCTGCCAGTCAACTACGGAACAGTCTATAACTACAAAGGCACAGACAGTTATTTAATATGAATTCAATGTATTTAAATTATTTACAGAAAGAATCACCGTACCTGTTACTGTGTTATATTGAATAGGTGTACTTTCTATTTTCTCGAATACTGTTTTAATACTAAATGAATAGAGAGTGCCAGCTTTCAGAGATTTTACAGTGCAGTAAACTGAATTTCCATCTGAGGTATTTGAACATCCAGCAGTGCCATCAGAGTCTACAAGGCAGCTCCAATTTTCTTTTACACTCTCCAATTTCAGAGTTATTGTATTCAAAGTTCGTTGTACTGCTTTTACTGAAGACACTGGAGAAGGAGCTGATACAAAATAAAAGAGCAAGTATTAGATTTTTAGTGCATATAACATTGACTAAAAACAAGCATAGTTAGTGGTACCTGTGGGTGCTTCCAATAAAACTCCATTGCTTGAGATATTGGCAAGTTTAGTATACAAACGAAATCTGTATATTGTGCCACTTTGAAGATTCTTAGCAATATATGTTTCCACATTTCCTGAGGATGGATTTACTGACTCTCTCTTTGAGTCATAGTCAATTTCATAGTCCTGGATATCACCCACTTTTTTCCACTCTAGAGTTATACTACTGTTTGTTCGGTTTTGTACTTTGAAGGCAGTCGCATCACGAGGACCTAGAAAGCAAGTATATATGTGATCAAAACAGCATACAGTACAGCACAGCACCCTTGACACATAGATGAAAGAAAGAACTGAATATTGTTCTTATTTTAAATTTGTCATGGCTTAAAAATAATGTGCAGTCTTACGTGTGGCGGCACTGATGGTCACTCCATCGCCTAATATGTTTCGAAAAACAGTAAAAAGGGTAAAGTTGTATATTGTGGTGTCATTGAGGCTTGTGACTGTGTATTCGGTTATATTTTCAAAGCCCAGTGCAGTGAAGTTCTTCTCTGTTTCATTAAACTTCATTAAAATGTAATTGATTTTTGGGTCATTCTCCCATTTCAAAGTTATACTCGTCTCATTTTCTGAGACTCTATCAAAACCGTTCACTTTGGAAGGAGCTATAGAAAAAAAAAGAAAATGTTATAAATATTTTTTGTGTTTTATATTTTTAAGTAAAGGAAACTTACCAGTGCTAGCAGTCAGATTGGCCCCAGTACTTCGAATGTCATTAAACACACTGTATAGAGTGAAACTGTATTCGGTGCCACTTTTTAGATCTGTCACTACCTTTTGCTCATCAGTGATGTTTTTCTCTGTTCCATTAAAGTTAAAAATCAACTGAGAATCATCTGACGTCTTTGTCCAGTTGAGGGTTATGCTACTTTCATTTTGATTAACCTGCCTAAAATCTGCAACATTTTTAGGAGCTGAAATGGAGACAATAATGTGTCAATAGTACCACAGACCACAATAGTGACGGTTTTAAGTAAAGCAAACTTACCAGTGCTAGCAGTCAGATTGGCCCCAGTACTTCGAATGTCTTCAAACACACTGTACAGAGTGAAACTGTATTCAGTGCCACTTTTTAGATCTGTCACTACCTTTGGCTCATCACTGATGTTTTCCTCTGTTCCATTAAAGTAAAAAATGAACAGAGGATCGCCTGATGTCTTTGTCCAGATGAGGGTTATGCTACTTTCATTTTGATTAACTGGTCTAAAATCTACAACATTTTCAGGAGCTGAAATGGAGACAATAATGTCAATAGTATAACAGACCACAATAGTAACAGTTATGTATATGAAATGTCTGTTACCTGTTTTTGCATTAAATGGATATCCAGAGCTTTGAAAGCCCCCTTGCTGAGAATATAAAGTCATGTTATATTTCTGAGCAGGCATTAGGTATTCCACAGTATACACAGCTGGATTGTCATTATCCCATGTAATGATTTTTGACTGGAATGTGTCATTGATATAAGTCAAATTATACTCATTGATTCCATTAACCTTATCAAATTTTATGGTTACAGAATTTTCTGTTTGATGCACAACAGTGACATTGTTCACATCAGCAGGTGCTGCAAAGATACAAAATAGAATAATATATATTTTTTAGACTTTTAGATTTTTTTAGCCATTTACAACCAAGTAGCACTATTCTTCTCACATGATAAGGCTGTGGTTGGCGGGTTGGTTACTGTTGTTTCTGTTGTTGCTGTCACAGTCGTGCAGTCAGTGGCCCTCTAGTGACAAAAAAACCCAAAAGTTTTCACAATGGTTAAGCTGTGAAAATATATCAAATTCACCGGCCACTGTGTCAGTCTGTGAGCTCTTTAGCAACAGGAATTCACCTAGAGACATCTTTATTCATTAGAAAAGATTACTAATATGTAAACAATACTACTACCAGAAGTAGTTACAAAGATTACATTTTAGGGTAGATTCCAAGTATAAATAAATTAAAAGGGTTAAACTATATGTGAAAGGGCATCTGACATAAAACAGACTGCTATAATGCATTGGTGGAAAAGGACTTTTGACTTTTTCACTAGGAAAGAACCATTTTGCCATTTGCATTTGTAATTTAATTGTTTGTCAACCTGACCTGTAAGTTGGCCTGGTAGCATCATCCACTTGTTTCCATAATAATATAAATACATTAAATACAATACCACTCTGTGAAACATTTGAGGCAATGTATGGTAATAACATCTTCAGGGAGAGAAGCAGAAAAAGTTACATAGTGCCCCTTTAAAATGTGTTTGTGTGTTTAAAAAATGCTTTCAATTTATTGTATTACTTGATTTTGTTACTTATATACAAGGTGTGAAAGCATATTAAGTCTCTTTTTAAGACAACTTAAAAGCAAATAACAATAACTGAAAATGAGAACGTGAATTTATTACTCAAAATTGTTCAGTCCAACATTAGAACATGACCAAAGGCAAATTAATTTTGTACGAACTGAGAAATAAGAACATCTAAAAAGAACTTTAAAGTAGAAATATTGCCTGTAAAGCCACTGTCCACTCTGAGCATTTCCTCATTTGTTTTCCTTTGGAGGAAGTAAAAAAAAAACCTGATAACTACATCTGGGAATAAACGTGCTTCATATACAGCCATCATAAAAACTCCAAACTCCATAATGTTTTACTGAACTAAATTCTACTGACGCAAGACCACAACTGAATCTACCAATACACACCAAGTACCATTTGATGAAATAATAATTTATTTGCCTACAAAAAATTATGTAAAGATAGGCCAAGGACTTACCCAAAATGGACACAGACAGAACACCAACAGCAAGTCATAAGCACTGAATCTAAAAGTAAAAAAATCCATTGTAGACTATTAACCTGAAAGCATAGCTAGATCTGGTTTAAAGATGGTGGCAGTCTTGTACAGGTGACAGTAGGCTGATCCCAATGTGTTGACTTTTAATTCTCAAGCATATCCTCCCTATGTAACCTCTGAGCTCTCCTATTAGGAAGCAACTAAGTAAATAGTTGCTTCTCTTTTTCAGCCTTGAAACCACACAGACCTTTGCCCCGCCTATCACTTCCTTATAACCGTTATAATCTGTGGACGACCAATCAAAGTCATTTGCATATTTATGATGTTCCATGCTCTATGAACCGTATACGATAATACAACACTATACTGTACTATACTATTGGGGATGGACAGGAGCTGGAGTACAGGACACTGATTGCAAATTTTGTGGAGTGTTCCCAGACAAACCATCTGCTCCTGAATGTTGACAAGACCAAAAGAAAAGTGACTGACTTTTAAAAGCTTTGAATAGTGAGTGTGTGTTTGTAGTAAGGAACTCTAGAACTATATAGAGGTAATACAATATAAAAGAGGGAAATAAAAGGAAGAAGTGAACACTGATAATAATTAGTTGCATTACAGAGTTTATGGTGTCCCTGATGTTTACCTGGTGATGCAGCAGAACCGACGGGGTAATATATGGAAAAATCAACTAAAACTGAAAGCTGCATTAGGTAATTTATTTACATGTTTTCCCAAGTGTTTTTCTGTCATTTTCAGTCTCAGTACTCATTATTTCACACCTATGTACATGTATTGTATAGTAGACCAGTTCTACAGCTAGTTACCAGGAACCTGGCTCAGATCTGCCAGGCCTTCAAACAGGTGCCACACACACTGAAGGATGGGTTTGGAGCAGATCAACATATTGTTGTTACATATTGTTTTGTTTGTATGACTAAATATTAATTTTAATTCAGTCACTACCTCTATTTATAGGTAATTATTTTGACCACAACACAATTACAGAACAATAGTTGGTTTATGGCTTAGTTTGCAGAAAGTCACAATTGGCTGTCATCTACTGGTGTCGATGGGGAAGTACACAGTAGCTAATGTGGCAATGAATGAAAGCTGCAAAAAAATTTTCGATACCCTATCCACTCATAGCAGGGAATGTTATATAGTACTTTTGGCAATGATCTTTTAGATAACTTTGCCTGCGATCCAGAAAACAATATAGAGGGAAGTCATTCTGGGTTTAACAGTCAAGACATTGCTTAAATGGGCAAGCTAACTGGCCTATTTAGTCATACATCTACTCTCTGAGCCTACTCCAAACAAAAGTAATGTTTAGTTATGATATCAATTCAGTCTAAACAACATTTGTATCTTATTTCATAAAAGTAAAACCCTCAAAGTAGTTAACTCCTGACCAAGAGTTTGACCCACGGGCTCCACATTGGATGGACTAAACGGGACCTATCGCGGGAGCTAATTTCATTTCAGAGCCACTGGATGGCGCACTACTACGTTTGAGTGACGCTGCGTCCTCACACAAACCAAGAAGAAGTCCTTAGCACAACAAATATCTGACGCTCGTGTTAGCACATGATGTTAGCATAGTAGCGCTGTGCAAGGGGCGTCACAGTTTGTGCTACAGGACAGATAAAAGCCTGCCAGAACGGGGAGATAAAGACAGAACTTCAACGGTGAAGTGGAGCATCGTCTCCTACACAAATAAACCAGGTACGCGTTATGATTTAACATGATTGCGATGCACGTAATGCTCCGCAATAGCATCTGTGTTGTTTTCTAAGTTACATCCATTTTGCCTCGAAATGGGCCGAATGTACAGTATGTTCCAACCCAAGTTACCCGTTCTGCTTTTTATCGTGTAACAACATCTTTGCAAAGACGGTGTAAAAGCTGCAAACCAACTTGTTAGTACAACTCTAAGGCATTTTAACATATGAGTGAAACATACTGCTGCTGTGTTTACAGTTGTTATGTTATTGATTATTATTTATTGTATTTTCCAGAAATGCAGTCCGTGGTGAAGCAGAACTTTCATGTGGAGACGGAGGCAGACATCAACAAACTGATCAACCTGAAGCTCACGGCGTCCTACACGTATCTGGCTGTAGTAAGTCACGTAAATCATTACCATCGAATTACAAATGCATGATCACTATTATGACTCATAATAATTATTTTTTATTCTAGGGAATGTATTTTGACAGGGATGATGTTGCCCTGCCAAATTTCTCCAGCTTTTTCCTCGAGCAGTCCGTAAAGGAGAGGGACCAGGCTGAGAAACTGCTGGACTATCAGAACATGAGAGGAGGACGCATTTTACTCCAGACCATACCTGTAAGTGTACATATTAATGTTTTTTTGTTTTTGTTTTTTTCCCTCTTTGCATTATTAAATGGTATGTTGTGTCTTAGAAACCAACTAGAGAGGACTGGAGAGGTGGACTCGATGCAGTGTCCTTCTCTTTGGATTATCAGAAGTCCCTCAATGGCTGCATTCTGGACATCCATCGCCGAGCTGGCAACAATGGTGATCCTCATGTATGTCCACCATGCGTTACTCTAATTTTTATGTCCAAAGTATACATTAAATCCATAATATTTATAATTTACATATTTTTCAGCTGTGTGATTTTCTGGAAGAACATTTTCTTCAAAACAGCCATGAAACCATCAAGAAGCTGGGTGACTATGTGGGCAGTCTGGGCCGTATTGCCACAAATGAAACCTCCGGTTCAATGGGAGAATACCTTTTTGATAAACACACTCTTTAAGGCAATGTAGCAATACACTCTCCCTCAAATCTCAAAAAGCTAATTAGAAATACCTCATTTTTACAGTACTAACAACTATGGTGCTAGTAGTTACACATTTCAAAAGTCACAATATGCTTTCATTGCTGCTGGATTGAAATTAGAATGATGTATCATGTTAACATTCCGTTATGTTGGAAAACTGTGAATCAGATTTTTTCAAATGCAAAGATTATGTTAAATTTGGATAAAATAAAATTTGAACTGAGATGACCCTTTGTTTCTATTTTTTTAAAGACATGTAGACTCAAGATATGCTGAGCTTTCAGAGACCCATTTTCTGTTCTCCTATAGACGCAGTAAAGATTATTGCTGTACATTGCTTACTCATTGTTTGGTTGGAGCTTAATCTTTAACTGTAGGTCCCCAGACAGAGGTTTTCAAAGGACATGCTACTTGGTAAATTGTAGGTTTCAGCAAATCCCTGGTCACTTCCCGTCTGTCAACAGAATTATAGTTCAATGCTGAGCTACTGAAACAACATGATAAACTAGTATGATACAACCTTGGAAAAAAAAAAACATGCGCAAGGAGTGACATAGTGAAACTATGAAGTTTGTAAAAATAATTTGTTAACTGAAGGTTCAAAATTTTTATTTATTTATTGAGGCAGGAACAGTGCGCGATTTACATTAACCTTCACTGGAGAGATGCATTGTACCAGGTTGTAGCACCAGTGCTAATTTCCACCTGTAGCCTTGGGCAGGTTCATTGATTGATTGTATTTAATTGACCTTAGCTATCAGCTGTTCTACAGAAAATAAATATTCTTGTGAGCTTTAAGTAATATTATGATGCTGTTACCTCATCAGAAATATAGTTGGAGTTATGAAAAACTACATAATTTGAAATAACTATCGCCTAATATCTGTTAATTTAGCTGGACAAGCACGTATTCGCCTGCCTGAGGATTACCATTCACAAGACTCTACTGTGTGTGGCTTGTACAGTGAAATGGTAAGCTGTGCTATTAAGGAGAGACATCTCACATTGGTAGTCAGTAGATGGACGATGGACTCCCTGGTCTGCTATGACGAGGGGATTAGCCAGGGAGCACGAAATCTCCTATTGCATCAACTAACCACAGCTGCCATGCCTTATCAATCTAATGAGAAACACTTTGACATTATACAATGGCCTTCCAACATTAGAAGAATATTTATTTGTGACATAAATGTAAAAAAGTAGTTATTGTTTGTCAGTGAGAGTTAGAAGCAACAGATGTGATAACAGTATGGGAGGAGGAGGGGTATGGGGATTAAACCACAACACAGCACTCCGATGCTTCGGATTTGATAGTAAGGGTTCCAGGGTGATCCAGTGAGTCCGAGTTCGTCCCGTTGACCATGGGACTGTGAAGCCTCTGAGGGTTTGAAAGAAGAAACCTGAAATATACCAGGATTGTTGAGATGAAGCTACTGGATAAAGGACAATACAGATCAACAGGTATGATTCACATATTTGCAGAATATTTATGTCACAGTATTTGATGCGTTAATATAAGGTTTGTTTTCACTGATGGGCAAATTAAGAACTTTGACTGTGACCAATAATACTACATAATATAAAAAAGGATAGCAGGTGTTCCCATGTAAAAATAGGCTACATGCGTACTCAAAACAAAAGCCTCACAGTTGAAAATTCATTGAATTCAACTAGTTATTCCAGTTTGAACCAAATCCAGTCTGCTCAGAAAATAAACTGATTCACAAAAGTCAAAATATTATACTTTTACATTCTGTGATAGTTGTAATTTGAATCATTGAAATGTAGTTGAAACACAACAAACACAACACTGTTTTATAACTTCCAATGTATTTTTTGTGTTGTTAAAATTGAAAAAAAATAATAATAATAATAATTTTTTGCATTGTGATCAAATCTAGTGATGTGGATATGCTGTGGTAAAAATGGAGGGGTATGTGTACGTGTGAGGCGGAGATGACAGGGAGAGTAACAGGGGGATTAGGGTCAGCCATGTTGAGCATCTGGCTTAGAGCTGTTCCCCTGTGCTGCATGGACATGGGATTACACTGCCCATACAGACCTGTAATATCTAACATTCCTTCATCACATAACTTTATCACTGCTTTGTTTTGACAGTGAACATGAGGCTGGTGAGTGCTGGGGTTCGAGCCAGGCGGGCTGTGGAGACGTCCGAGGAATCTGAAGAAACAACTGAGACAGTCCACCATGAGCACCACCCAGAGCACCACACAGAGCACCACCCAGAGCACCACGAGGGCCATGAACACACCCACCCAGAGCATCACCACCCCGGCCATGGACATGACTACACACACATGAAGAACAAGTTTATGAACGAAATCACCCATCTGCCGAGTAAGAGAACAAATTCACCAACACTTTTCTCACAACTAGAGTTTTTACTTATTAACAAACTACTTTCCTACTTAATACAACATTTTGACGACATTTCCCCATTCAAAAGATTGAATATTTAGTTTTAAATTGTTAAACACTATAGCAACTGTCCTAATTTCTCATCATTCTTAAACCCATGGGTTGGTGGTTTTCAGATTCTAGAAATGGATGATGCCATATTCTCAGATGGGGGGCAAAGAGCCAGTTTTTCATATTGATTACATTGTACTTTTCCATGAAATATCCAAAAGATAAATTACAAATGTTTAACCTCATCTTTTCTGTTACTGACTAGAAGAAGTAACTGTATTACAATAGAATCTGCATTTTAACAGTATTAATGTTAGCTGCCCCTAATTTGTATTCAGTATTTTTGGACTATAGCGTGTTGTGATGTAAACTGAAACCCAGTAATAGGCAAGTTATAGGACTTAAATATGAATTACATAATATTTGGTCATCTCCAGCTATAATGCGACTGATCTTATAATGGCAGGCCTGAAGGGGGCAGTGGTTAGACCAGTCTGCTCTGTCTAGACCACTGTCATTATCTGATTTTACAAGTGGGTTTTGTCAACTCATGCAAGCTCAGCCAACTGCCAATTGTCTCCACAAGTCAGCGGACCAGTTTCACAATAACTTTAGAACGAATTCAGTTATTAGTAAAAGAGCAGTTTTGTTAAATAAACCAATACATCTTCTACGTAGTTCCACATTTGTTATTTTAATTTTCTGTGTGATTAATTAATATGCATATAAAAACAGAGCAAGATACAGGAAATTGTCAACTGTCAACTGTACTTTTATGTGTTTTAGGTATGTTACTTACAATTATTTTTAATGTTTTCTAGTTCCCATGTGGGCTGTGGGGGCCATTGTGGTGGTGGTGCTGTTACTGGTGGCCACCTGCCTCTTCTGTATTTTTAAGAAATGTTTTGGAAAAAAGAAAAAGCCAAAGAAAGCCAGAGAGAGGAAAGCAGGGCGTCGCAGAAAGGCTAAAGAAGGTGAAGAGGAGGGGAAAGAGAATAAGGTATGCCCTAATTTTGTCATTGTGTGTTTTGAATGTCAGGCATTTATTAAAATATGATAATTAAATATGTGTTTTTGTAGGAAGGAGAAGAGAAGAAAGGGGAAGAGGAGGATAAGGAGCATGAAAAGTTGGGGAAATTGGAGTATTCTTTAGACTACAACTTCACAGATGCACAGGTATGTTCCAACCATAGGCTGTATACTGTATATAAGATGTATTATATGAACTTTAAAGTAGCTATTTGTCTTTTCAGCTCATCGTGGGAATTCTTCAGGCTCAAGATCTTGCCGCCATGGACATGGGGGGCACGTCAGACCCCTATGTCAAAGTCTTTTTATTGCCAGATAAAAAGAAAAAATATGAGACCAAAGTTCAACGCAAAAATCTTTGTCCTGTCTTCAATGAAACCTTTATTTTTAAGGTTATTATGAGATATTAATGATTGTTTAACTTAATGTTGTTCTAATTGTTTTAAGTTATGTTTTTTTCCTAATTGTTTCTTATATGTATGTTTCCTCCACTAATTTCTTTAGATTCCTTATGCAGAGCTTGGTGGTAAGACCTTGGTGTTGCAGGTTTATGACTTTGATAGGTTTTCAAAGCATGACATGATTGGTGAGATAAAGATCCCCATGAACAGTGTCGATCTGGGCCAGCCAATGCAAATGTGGAGAGACTTAGAAAGTGGAGAAAAGGAAGAGGTGAGTTTATGAGGATATCTCTGTTATTGATGCTGATTGCTCAAAAAAAAATTTAGGATTAAAATGATGTATTTCTTTTCTATTCCAGCAAGAAAAGCTTGGTGATATTTGTATTTCTTTACGGTATGTGCCCACTGCTGGAAAGCTCACTGTAAATATTATGGAGGCAAAAAATCTGAAGAAAATGGATGTTGGTGGATTATCAGGTAAAACTGAAAATAGTTCTTTTGGAGAGGCAATTATACAGTCTGTCTTTCTGTCAATTATACAGTCATGTATTTGCCTTTATTTGCAACTCTTTTTGTCCCTAAGATCCTTATGTGAAGATTGTTCTGCAGCAAAATGGAAAAAGAATCAAGAAAAAGAAGACAACTGTAAAGAAAAACACACTCAACCCTTATTTCAATGAGAGTTTCAGTTTTGAAATCCCATTTGAGCAGATTCAGGCAAGTTACATCCATGACAACTGACCAGTGATCATGACAAACACGTGGACAAGTGTTAAATACATGCTTGTTTGTTTTTTTCTAGAAAGTGCAAGTGGTTATTATGGTGTTTGACTATGATAAACTGGGAAGCAATGACCCAATTGGTGGGACCTTCATGGGGTATGGAGCCACTGGAGTGGGCCTGCGTCACTGGTCTGATATGCTGGCCAATCCTCGGCGTCCTGTGGCCCAATGGCACACCCTGATGCCAGAGGAGGAGGTGGAAGCTGCGCTCAAGGCTAAACCTCGCTAGAATCATGTTCATTTCACATATGACCATTTACTTGTTTATGCGTGCAGTTTTCTTTGTGTTCACATTTTATTCATGTTAATGAATATTTTACTTTTTGTTTTGTATTTCACCATTTTGTATTTCATTCCCTACATCCACATGTGAAACAAAATATGTGTTTGTATTTATGGCAAACTAAAAGGGTCTCTTGACAAAGGTATGTTTCATGTTTTTTTCCAAGGCATGTTGTTTTTACTGTTGTAAATGTATTAATGGCACATCTCCAAATAAACCTTCCATGATGTCTAAACAAGTCTATTAAACATCACTAATGCCTTATATAAGGTTCCCCTTAGTACAGTGTTCAGCATAGTAGCTACCACAGTTATATTATGCATTAAGATCTAAAATAGCAGCCAACATTGTTGTATACTTCTCAAACCTCAAGAAGGACCAGAAGATGGCGCTTTCTCCCAGCATTCAGTGGAGGAAGCGTTACCCATAGCAACAGAGTCAAACTTTACCTCTTAGCTTTGAGTTTACTGACGGGCTGCTTTTGTTTTGCTGAGGTGAGTGCCAACAATATGTCTTTTTTTTCTGGAGAAATGCATAATGTTTTTGATGAGTCTGTAAAGTTGTTCACCTTCCAAAAATATTACAAAATCATTCTATATGTGTAGTTAGGCTACATTTTCGTGGCGTTGATCTAATTAGCTAACTTAAATTAGCTTGTAATCCAATTAATTTAAATCGCAAAAGCTACTCTAACTTTTTCATAATATATTTACACGAGTCTATATTTCAGTCTAGGGTCTTGTGGAAGTTTTGGGAGAATGAGTGCGGGGCGAGCTTCTGAAGGGGCAGGCTGTATTTCTTTATGGGGGTTCAGTCCGTCCCGTAACCTCCTGACAACAGGTGAGAAACCATGCATTTAAATCTTCTTACAGAACCGTATTTACGTTTATTTATAACCTTTTTATTCTGTTACACACACACACACACACACACACACACACACACACACACACACACACACACACACACACACACACACACACACACACACACACACACACACACACACACATATATATATATAAAATGTATTTATTTTTTAACATATTCTCTCATCTATTATTTGGCCAGGCCCTGAACAAAATGCAAAAAAGGCCAACATTCTGCTGGTGGGCAGTGGAGATCCTCGCCATGTTCTCAAAACTATAGCTGGATTGCCAAACAAACACAATCTTCATGTAAGTAAATAACAGCATTCACACAGTCCCTTTACAGAATGTGTGTAAACATTAAAAAATAACTTGTGTCTTTATATGGTAGGTGTGGGTGATTGAAAACAACATAGAGGTAATAGCCAGACAGATGCTGATGCTGTATCTTGCTCTAATGCCCCAGGGCAGCATGGGATTTAGTGGTAGGTCCAGTAATAATAATAATAATAATAATAATAATAATAATAATAATAATAATAATAATAATAAAATAAATAAATAATAATAATAATAAAAACATTCCCAAACAACTCTTAACTATATTATTTTCCTTGCTGTTTTAGAGAAGACTGAAGTTTTCCTTGAGATTTATGGAAACAGTGAAATCTGCAACCACACAGCAGAGATGCTCAGACATGCAGCATCGCATCTTATTGTGTCAGTTACAGAAACAATGGAGGAAGCTACACATCCCTGTTTGGATACTTCACTTCTCAAGGTACCACACGATCTCTTTGACTAAGCCTTTAAATTTTGTTTTGAAAATTAGAAACTTTTTTTTTTTGCTTCTGAAGTTCAAAGAGAGAGATGAGCTGGCAAGGATATTTAAACAGTGGACACAGCAGGAATATTCTGTATCGGGACGTCCTACTCCCATTGTGATGTCTAAAGCCTGGGATTATCGAGTTCGCCAGCACCTTGGGACCCGCTATGACTCCAGGACAGGTTGCTTTGACTGGGACCTCATCATGAAGCTACATGAAAAAGGGGTAGAGAAATCATTAGGACAACTATAATTTATCAGTTTCTGTATAAACATGCATTTTTTTCAGGGTCGTCTAATCCATAAACATCAATATTCTCAATGGCGTGCAGGAGGCGTGGCGTTTGAACTGAGAGAAGGTGTCTACCAAACTTTAAATCCAACTTTTCTGTCCTCAAGAGTTTTCAGTCAGGTTAGTTTCTCAATTTAGGCGTGACAAAAAGCATGAATACTTTGCATAGAGCTGTCACAATAACACATTTTGAAGTGTGATATATTGCTGAAGTAAAATAGACAATAAACAATATTATTGAAACCGATATAACCAGTAACCCAACTATAAAGCAGAATTGTCTCTAAAATGTATTCTCCATGTAGAAAAGAAATATGAAATGCAATAAATAAATAACAGAATATAACACATACATAGTCAGTTTGTGTCTATAATGAGTCATAAAAGTTCATAATTAAACCCTCAAAATTCTTTGTAGTATTGAAAAAAAACAAACATGTCCCATCAGTACACATAAAAAGTCTCCACGATAAATATTGACCCCCAAAAATCATTGTTCCATCTAGTCAAGTGAAGTTGATAAAGTATTTATCATGACAGGCCTAACTTTGTGCATATTTTGATTATTGTACTGTTGACAGAAAGGGTCAAAGGTTGCTGTGACGGGCTACTGGGGTGACATCGTATCCAGCCCTTACCTCTCATTTGGCATTGAGACTGATGATAAAAGTCTTTTGAAGACACAGAATGGACAACATATCAAAGTAACAGCAATGATTTAAATGATCATGATTTGTGTTTGTTGTAATCTAATCTTATTGAACTCCTCTCATATACAGACAGCACAAGACGTCTCTGTTGCTAATATCCAGGCATTGTTCCAGTCCATGTATAATAGACAGGAAAGGCCCAGTACACCAGATGAAGAAAAACAAATGCCATCCACTGACAATGACTCAAAATGTGTCTCTGTCAATGGTAAATCTTTAGAAGAGCAGGAATAAATCATTCTTTAAAGTATGTATTTCAAATCTAATCATTTTATTGTTTTGTTTTTTCTAGATTTGCTGCATCTTGATGGCATCTCTGTGACCTTCCTGCCCATGGATGCACTGACAAAAATGCCACAAAAAGAGAAATATTCAAATCTTTTTAATGTAATTTTCTTTTCGGTTGGGTACGTTTTAAGATTGATATGCCTAACCCATTATGTATTATACACAATTTCATTGTAGTTTTCTCTCTTCCTTAAAGCTGCGTACACCAGTTGAGCCCAGCACTGAGACAGATTGCAGCACCAGACGCTGTGCTTGTCGTGGAGTTGGCCAAGTGAAGACTTTTTTATAGTAGCACTGCCTGTTTCCATGGAGACAGTCACCATGAAGCATATTTAGTTGTAAGTAAAGGTATAATTTTCTTATTTTTGCTCCTAGGTTTATCCTGGATCTGAACAAAGAACAAGAAAGAGGTTTTACAAGTAAAGTGAAGGATATTGCACAAGAATCTGGATTTGAGCCTTCACAAGAAGAGACCATTGATGATGTTTTTGCAATTTTTACTCCACAGAGGTGTTAGTTTACAAATGATATGTTGTAACCAATACCATTTGGAGAGCATCATACAATATATTAGACAAAATAGGTCATTTGAATAATAAAAAAAAAAAACATGACACAAGTAAATCTACTATGTTAGGTAATACATATGAACACTGCAACATGCCAACAAAAGGTCTCAAAAACAGAGCATCCTCTTGCTTTTGATTACTTCCATCGTCCTCCAACCTTCCCCTTCCCATGGCATTTTTTGCTGTAGCATAAAAAGATGAGAACAGTGTTGTGTCCAATAAAATGTTGGCATTTAAAGACAGTGTGCATAGACAGACTCACAATTTCTGAGCGTGCTGGATTCGGTTCAGAAGGACGTTTATCTGAAAAAATAAGAAATGCAATATATTATCCCTATAGCATGTCATGAATGAAAAATTGTAATGAAAAGGTGAACCTCATATTTCTGTCTCTTCATTTTCTCTGTCAAGTCAAACTTCTCTGACTCCAGTTGGTAGATCCGCTCCCACATCTCTTTGGCTCTGGCTCTGAAAGGTCAAAGAGTTAAACGCTACAAATAAAAATGGGGCTAAAATTAATCATAAGTTTTAAATATTAACAAATATTGCTCCAATGAATTGGGTAGTAAAGAACACATAAAGAATTATATTTGTTTTGTGGCATAATTTGTCACAAAACAATCCAAATAAATTTAATAAATATGTTAATCTTTCACCTCAAGTTGATCTCTGACAATACATAAAATAAATAATTACTTCAAATAATTGTGATTTCAGTTATGATCCACAAAATTGTAATTGTAATATTTTCATAATGGAGACACCTCAGTCCATCCTCTCTCAGATGCTCAATGGCCAGTGGGGTGCGTCTTTCAGCCAGTGTTTTCTTCTTGATTTCTCGTGCTGTTTGCTTTTTGCCTCGTCTCTGCTCAGCCTAGCAGACATTAAACATTAGTATTAGTTTAATATAATACTATCTCAAGAAGATTTTTCTATTTTTCTATCACTGACTTTTGCCAGGAAGCCACCAAAATGTGCGCCCATGTTGGAGAGCACCTTTTTCTTCTTGGCTTCATCATCTGCCCTCTTCTTCGCCTCTTCCTCCTCCTTCCTCTGCCTCTCTTCCTGAACGTACAACAGTATTTGTATTGTTTATATGTATACATTTGAAAATACACTTTTAGTTTACCGCAATCCTTGTTTGTCGGTATCTTTCTTTTTCGGCTCTGACCCGCTGCTGCTCAGCTCTCTCTGCTCTGCGAGTTTCCTAAACACAGAATTATGACTGTTATTTTTGTTTAAAACACAAACAAGCACATACACTATATCTAATAAACCACTCATTCACTATTATGTGTAACTGTTTACAATTCTCTCTTTAAGTCCAATCAGCTCCTCTTCCTCCTTCTTCCTCTGCTCAAAATGAACATCAATCAAAGTCTGCAGCTCGAGGAGGTCCTTTTCCATCCTTTTGCGGTGAATGTCCTGCAGAACCAGTAGAAATGAGGTGTGATACTATTCTGTGTGTATTAAGACACTAGATAGTGTTTTCATTATCTACTTACATCAAAATCCACCCTCTCTCCCTCAGGTATTTTGGGGGCAGCGAGTTGAGTGACATGTGCCCTGTGAAAAAGGAACACCCAAAACTAAAATAGTCTTTTACACTCCAATATTTCCATGTTTTATGCTACCTGTATCTCGGCCGTTCTTTGTGAATTCAAATTTGAAAAAGAAAAGAGAAAGAGGTTACAGTTTATTCCTTGAGGTTACAGTTGGTGTTGCATTCACAATGTGCATAGCAAATTATGAAAACATTATGCAGAATTTGCATGTGTCAAAATCACTTAGTTCCCAGCAACGTCTCACCTCCCTCGTCATCATAATCTGAAAAACATAACAAAACAAAAACATCCCACAGTGACAGGGCACATAGTCAAGAATAGGTATAAATGAATGAAAACATGCCACTGTACCTTCGTGGTGAACACTGAATTGAAAATAATGAGGAAAATGTAACAGGCTTTTTAACAGTATGAAAATATATGTGTATTGTAAATATATTAACATTGTGACATTCAGTGGACTCACCCATGTTCTTCAAATTCAGACATTATTCGCACTAAACATAAAAAAAAACAACTTTATTACAGAATAGAATCACAGAACCTTCGAAATAGTTTTTTTTTTTTTTTCTTTTTTGGCACATTTTCAGAAACTTTTCATAAACCTGAAAATAAAACAAAACTCACAACATAATGCCAGTCCTAGTTTTGTTCTTTTTAGCTTTTAATTCTGGACCGTTTTGTACTTTCTGAGTTCATATAGCGAGTGAAAGAAAATATGTTGCAACTCTTAACAGGAACAGAAACTCAAATTTATCATACCACATTACTTAGAAAATATATGTTTTAATTGTTTGCATATTTGTCACTGGGGTAATGATTGATGATGTTAGCATATTAAAAAAAAACAAAAAAAAAAAAAAAAAAAACAGATAGGCCACTGTTTTTGTTGTAAATATGTTCCTAGGCCATGGTCATTTGTAAACAATGCTCTAGGAATAGACGAGGTGAAATGTCATAGAGTCTGCATCCCTGGATAAGAGGGGGAGATCAGCTGAACAATCTCACATTTAATTTGATTTACAAGAAAGAATGTAGTTTGATTAGAAAGATTACACTGCTTTGTTCTCCATTATCACCAGCCAAGTCCTCCATTATGAGTTTACCAAGTTTACCGCCATCTCACAGCACAAAAGAACTGTATAATTTGCTATATTTGTCAAACTTCATTTTGTGATTATCTGTAACACTGAAGCAGAGAGGTAGTGTGCCCTCGCCAATCGCATTAGTAGGCAAATTCAGTATTTATGGGTTTCAGCATTGTGTCATAGGTAACATTTTGACATTTTAATATTAAAAACATAATATATTTTGTTTTCAATTGTTAAAACCTATGATGATGGTCCGATTTTTTCACCTTGTGTAACTAATAAGGATAGATAGTGTTGTAGTCACAGGAAGTTTTGTGGTGTAAATATACATAATACTTCACAGTGAAATACTGAAGTCAGCTTTTAGTCAGTAACATTTTTTTTTACTTGTCCTTCATGTCATGGTGAGCAATACCATTAAAGTTGTAAAGACCACTTAGGTCTTCACCTTTATCTATTCATTCAGTTGGGTGAAATTCTTATTTGTTAACATTATTCTGTTGTGTATGGTAATTTATTTGTGGGTAAATGCCATTGTTTCAGGCCATATCTGTTTATTGCGCCCTCCCCGGACGCACGGGGATTTAGGGGGAGAAGGACGCACGCGCGGGAGCGCGCACATGTGTGACGTCACACGCCGACTTGGACACATGCCAGGAGCTGTCAGGACCTCGTGAGCTTGCAATTTTGGAATATATCGCTGCATTTTTTGGGATTATTGCTTTTCCAATCGTGCTGGATCTCGTCTCGCCACGGGAGCTGCTGGACTGTGGGACAAAACCGGAGCGCGGGTGGCGTGAGTAGAACCGCAGGCTTCATCAACTCACGTTGCTTCTGCCGCGCAGCGGGGGGAAAAACTTTGGGAACTTTTGGGGGAAAGTTGCTCGGGACTGTTATGGTGAAGGGTGGTGGGCATTTATCGGACTGTTTCTTTATTGTTTTGTTGCACTGGAGTTTGGGTTTTGGGTTTGGGTTTTTGGGGATTGGGGCGCTCGAGCGCGGGGTGGTGGGTATCGTGTGTTGTGTGGCCGTATTTGTGTGTCCGGCAATGCCAATAAAAGCCGGATAGGCCAACAGCATTTCCTTTTTTGCGTGTCTTTGTTTCACCCCCGCTGATATGAATGGATCCTCCCGCGACCTTAATTTTGCGTTGTAGCTTTTCTCTTGTCGAGAACAGGTGAATTGTTACAAAGTGCATAACTCATATTTTTCTAATTATTACCTGGTTTGATGGGATAGTATCAGTAGTAAATATTTATCATAGTTTTAGATCAGTTAAGTGGCAGTTTGTGGAAAAAAGTTTAAGAAATGTAATAAAGGTGTTATTATGCTTGCTAAGTAATAGATATGGAATTACTTCTGTGTTTGTCATATCTGCTGCCTACCAGAAGTAAAATGATAAACTCCACAAAAAAACAAAACAAAAAAAAAAAAAACCCAAATAATAAATAGACGTGATTTATAGTGAAATAAGCAGTCTAACCTGCCATATGAACTTTAATTTTGAGTAACAGTGGACTTCTTCAGGGTGAACGCAAAATTTGAAATGAAATGAAATTAAATATGACGAATAATGGATTTTGTTAGCCAAGGCTAGAGATGTGTGTACCTACCTGATGCAGAGTGAAGACAGACAGGAGACTTGTGAGGGCCAAGATGGGACAGCCTTTATATGGGGGTCATATGGGGTGAGCTGGGGGGCTGAATCTGAAAAGATGAGAGACTGTATGGGATTAGCCTGAGCTTTGGAGAGGGTGAGCTAAAGTCTGACAGACAAGATAATGACTGAAGTGTTCTCGCATGACCTCACTGCTCAAATAGAAGCAACAGATGCATAAACAGTCACAGAGCCAACCTCTGTCCACACTTCCACTTAATTTATTGAAGTTCATCCATCAATCCTCCAATCAGCTATAACATCATTTCTATTTTCATCATGTGAGGTGACTAAATCTGTTACCTTTCAGTAACTTATACATATTTAACTTGTATAAACATTTGTAGCCTACAGTATCTCTCCCTGCGTCCCATGTGAGCATCATTTCACACATCTGCACTCATTCACATACACACCAACCTATGCTTATGTGAACCCTTCCCCACTCGCCCCCGGCTTTACAGCAGCCATTCCCATAGACACAAAGCCGCAAGCAGAAGAAGAAGGTTGATTTGATGACTGCAGACAAACAGGAGTCTATGAGTGAGTGACATTAGATGTTATATACTGGATATTTGATTCAAATAGTAATGAATCTTTTGTTTTCCATCAGATCAAACACTGTTGTGATAAATGTACAGCTCTGTTTAGGTAAGTATTTCTAATTTAAATAGACACACCAAACACACCAATTTCTAATTTTAAATACATGTATTTTCAAAGTTAATGTACTTTGTACTCATTTGCTCTGTGAGATTATTTTTTTGTAATAGAAAAAAAAATGACAAGAGTGATACACAGGTAGACTGCAGGGAAAACTCCATCACACACCAGGCCATGCCCAGAGAAGTGTCTGCGCCAAGGACACAACAACAGAGAAAGTAAGTATATGATGTGTATTGTGGATAGTGGGTGTACTTTTTCCACTCAGCGATTTTGGGGCCAAACGAAAACTTTCATTCAGCCTGAACTGGGGATTTAAGCAGCTGCACAGGGGACACTTGCTTTCTACTGTATCATGCAGTCCTATGATGTTTTTGCACATAGTATGTTGTATTGTAAAATCTTTTCTTGTTTAGGATCTGATGAGCTCCATTTTGTGGCGGACTCAGTTAATTGGAGACAAGCCTAAAATGTCTTTCATCAGAACCCTTAGGATTTGGCCAGTGCAAGCAGCATGAGTGAAAATCAGAAGTCATTATAAATGCAAATGTAACCTCAGTGGTGTGGCTTGGCTTAGTCTATTCAAAGTGGACATGGCCAGATAAGATTAGCCACCGTTCTTTCTGAAACTGGATTGATCAGCCCAACAATGGTGGTGATTGTGCACTGAACATAAGATAGAATGATTTGTGAGCCAGGAGACCTATTTCTTTTGCTATTTAGATAGAGTGCAATGCATTAAACCATCTGTGCAAAAGTTATTACTAAAATAAATAAAGTTATAGATTGTTTTTGCATATTTCTTTTAATTAAAAGTGCAAGGGGAAATCGTGGGTGCCACTGATCCAGCTGTAGTCCAGAAGATCTTAGAATAAGTATGTAACAAAATACATAATCTATTTAAAAATCAAAATAATCAGTAATGTTATTGTGTTCCTAACAGATTAAAGAATTAACACCTGGAGTAACGATTGAGTGGCTCGTCCAGCTGGATGGAAAGATTTTCCTCAAAATAGAAGAAAACTACTGAAGATAATAGATAAAGATAATCCTTAAATATTTTGCATTTATCAGTACAAGAAGTGAAAACTCAATTGACCAAAGGATTTTTAAAATTTTCAGTTGAAGAATAACAAGCATTAAAATACTTTTGTTTTTATTTGGGTGTCATAGCACTTCCAAGGCAGTAAAATAAAGTACCAAATAAAGAGAGGTCAGAATTCTTGCATTTACACTTGTGTCCTGTTGCTTTAATATTGACAGTAGGATCATCCCTTTTTCCTTACAAAGATATGGCAAATACTCCTTCCAAGGATTTTTACACATATTATACTGTATTTCTACAGAAAACCAAAGACAAAAAATACAGAAAAAGTACTATGAAGGAATATGTCCCTTTACATGTAGTTTATGTTTACTGCTAATACAAATAAATGTCCAATGGTTATGGTAACCTGGCAACAGCTAGACTATGTGTAGCAATCCTGACTACACATAACCAGAAGCGGCTCTCATTAAATGCAAAGATAAATACAAGGCATAACATTTAGACAAATACTTCCAGCTGATTGGGGAAGTGTCTCATCGGTGGAATGAACTGACGAATCAAGCCTTTGCTAAATCCAGCGGATGAAAAAAAGCATATTTCCCATGCATAAATATCCAAAGCACTTCCCTCATTGTAAAATCTGTCATTAGTGTAATTATCTCTGTTTCTGTTAAAATAGGCTGAAGTTCATCAGTCAGTGGTGCCATGTTTGTTTTGGCTTGCTTGAGTGCTTCACCTTTGTCTTCACCCAAACCACAGGTTGCCCTGTGATGGGCTTGAGCTACTGTGGACCTGGCCAAACTCAGCAGTGGGCTTTTAAACTAAATATTTTCAAGCAAAAAAGCAGAAAATCACCACTGCCATCAGTCTCTGCACAGCTTATGTGGTATATAGACGTGTGGTGCAAATTGTATGCATATTTAATGCTATTTAACTAAGAAAATACAAAATCCCTTTACAATGCATTTCCAAATATGTTCCGAAGACAAGCTAGACCTACACTAAGCTCATTATACAATCCAAATGACTGTAAATATGTAAAAATAATGGTCCCCACTTAAGTAACCTACAAACAAATATAAATATATTTATTAAAATGTCCCGTTTAGCACTGCAGTTTCACATTGAGTATTTATTCTCGAAATGTTTAAGGCTCTTTCCCGCAACACCAAAATCACCACGTCAGGTGTGCACATATGACCTGAGGGTCCCTAGGTCTAAGTTACTGGTCTTTCTTAACATTAGGGTGACTGGCTTCAGTTTTCTTGGGCTCTGGTTGGGCACCACTGAGCAGATGAAGTATATCATGCAGTGCCCTTTTAATCTGAGAACCAAATTTATGGGCATCCTAGTAAAAAAACAGAAGAAAAACAATGTCAGAAAAGATTCCCCTGTACTGATTATCAAAAGTATTTTAAATATATTTTAAAACTCACAGTTTGGGGACACGAGTGCTTGCAGGAGATGTGGAAGTTGATAATGTTCTCTCCAACAAGGCTGTAGGACACTCCATAACCATCATCAGCAACCTAAGAAAGAAATACAGTCTTAAATAAGGGTCACAATAAAAATGATATTTTGTTCATTACAGACTGCAATTCTTAAGTTGTTAATGGAGCCACTCACTGGGCCAAAGCCTCCTCCACAAGAGATGTATTCTGGGTAGTTGACCAGGTCAAACAGCTCCACCTGCTGGACAGCAGTCTGACTGGTTGAGAGCCTCCAGGGCTCTGACAGCACCTGAGGCATATATATAAATAAGAAACCGCAGATAAGATAGGCCTACATGAGAGTTGACCTTTCGAACTTTGTATTGTTATATGGAAAGAGCTCTCCAGCAATTTAGGTCCACAATATTGATGCATTACAGTTATTTTTTATTTATAATTTAATAAGGTATTTTAAACCTCATTAAAATAAAAGAGCAACATTTAATTTGTTTATTTTCTAACCTCTTTCAAGAAAGGCGACTCTATTCCCAGATATTTAGAGACCACATAGAGGCAGAAGAGATGTCTGTCAATGCCAGCTCCTGTCATGGCCATGCGATACAGAAGCTGGTGCTTTTCGGACGCTGCTCGAAACAGACGTCTGCACACCTCTGGAGCCTGTGGCACACACATTATCACTGGAGCTCAGTGGGAATACAAGATTTGGGGAAATAACAGGATCCTGGCTTCAGCTTTGACTCACCTCTCCTCCTTCGAACGCTCGGACAAAGGCACTGCTCTCATTGGAGCAGGAGCGCACCGTCTCAGTCCTGCCCTCCCTGAACAGACGGGTCATGGAGGCCTCATACGTCAAGCAGAAATTACCTTGCTCCTGAATTATATTCACATAAGGAATGTGATTCTTAGGATCAACAAATCTATAGAATATTGCTACAAAATTTTCTCACCCTGAAGTAGGCCAACTGAAGAGTCATCTGTATAAAGGCATCTGGGCTAACTCTGCACTTTTTAACCTTTCCTTTTCCAAACTCTTGGAATGAGAAAACGTGAAAATCGATATCGTTTGCCAGTTTCTGGGCCACTTCCAAAGACTTTGAGATCTGCTCCTCACACTAAAAAAAGACACAATACGCTTCAGTGAAGTCCTTGAACAAAGTACACTTTATACAAAACCAAATTATGATTATACATTAAGGTGCCTGTAGAAAGTCATACCTCCGGGGGGATTTCCCAGTTCAGCTTCTGTGGTTTTGGAAGTGAAGAATCCACTTCTCCCTTGCAGTGACCTTCTGTATTGTAACCAAGCTGGAAACTGTCAGTAGCCAGGGCGTACTGAAAAAGAACAATTAACTAATTGCAAAGAAAACACAGCAAATGTGTGTACTCATCTTCATACCTACCTCCCATACATGAGCTAAAACTGGTGCATCTGCCCAAGAATGTTCTGCATTTATACCACATTTTCCATTTTTGTAGAAAACCACAGAAAATGACTTGTCAAACCACCTATGGACACAGCATTCAGACATGAACACAGTAAACATGTATGTACACATAAGTAGTCATATTTCAAAAGGAAATAGTCAAACCTGTCATAACATTTTCCATGTAAAAGGGATTTAGCATATTTATCTAGACTTGCAGCAGGGTCATCACCCATCATGCCTTGCTCATCATCATCCAGTGTGACAAAAAAGGCAGCTTTTTCTATACAGTCCAGAGACCGTTTGTTAAGCCCTGTGCTAAAGAATTTTGCCCTGGCCTTGGCCCATGGTATTCTGTGGAATTGTTAAAAAATATTATTTATAATGCTCAAAGAAACAATGTTTTATGTCATCTATAAGACTAACCTGTCACCAGCTGTCAGGGCCCCAAGGTGGACTTCTCCTTTTGAAGGAGGAGAGGGGTCATCCAGAATCCTTTGGATTTGAAACTCAATCTCTCTGGGTGACAGAAGGCGGCCAGCCTGGTACACCCTGAGCCTGAAGTAGCGCCCCCTGTGGTATACGGCTATGTAATCACTGTCTTGCCAGTGCTGAACCGTGTCTTCAAGAGAGAGAAGTATAGTGGGACAAATATAATTAATGTTTTATATAGTTTTACAGTACAAACCCAAAGGAATATTGCAACAATGATCTGGGGGCTAAACATAAATGTCTGAAATTCTAATGAACTGAAGCCCATGTAAACAAGGCGGAATGCAATGAAGCATCTGCCTTTATGAGCCGACCCCAAATAAAAGACACACAACAAAACCTTTTAAGTAAACAATAAAAAACAACTTTTTCTGTGGCCCAGACTTGTGAGGAATGGAGAGATGGGTTTGTTGACTCATAAATGCAAGTGAACAAGAGCTTTAGGAGAGGGCGGGCCCAGTCATGTAGAAACATGAACACTACCTGTTAGCTCTCCAGGGATTCGACAAGTGTCAAACATCCTCTCAAACTGATAGGAACAGCATGGAACTGCAGACCTCAACAACCACTAAATAAGATAAACAGAGAGGGCCAGTCCAAAGAGGAAAGGATGTAAAGAAGAGAAGAGAGGTGAGAGTCGAAGAAATTAAAGAAAACTAAATGAGTGGGCAGAAGAAAAGAGTCAACATTAGTCAGAAACAGGCCTTTATAACATCCCAGAGTAGAGAGAAATGCAAAGAGGAGGATGGGAAGATGGGCTTACAATGGAGCAGCAAATCACAGATACTGTACTTGGGCACATCACCACACATGACTAATGTGAATTTATTAGTCGCCTCAGTGGACCCTATCATTTGAAAGTGGTCTTCTTTTGGGGTCTGAAGTTTGCTATGACTGTAACTTTAATGTTGCAAACGAGTGTCTCTTTACCAGTCTCCTCTCCTGGAGTACGTGTAGTGTTGAATATCCTCTCACACTGAGCTGCACACAGGGGAATGACAGTGCCGGGGATACGACTCTGGGAGATGGAGGGAAGGGGGGGAATGGGGAGACAGAACAAAGAAATCCAGCAGAAATAAATGAAAGAATGAAAACAAAAAGGGGACAATGGAGTGTGGTATGATGATTCAGTTCCACCCATTTTAATAGAAAATGGTCACAGCCATAGGATAGCTGTGGAAAGACTGTTAAATTTGAAATTCAAGTCTTAAAGTCTTGAACAAAAATATAAAATACTGGTAGTATGAACTGCATAAGCTAATTCTTCTGCGTGTGCAGCATACACTCTATGATGGATGCATGATTGCAAGCTTGAAGATGACCATGTAAGATCACCAAATATAATCAAATGACTCTTAACCAAGGCATAGATCTAGAACAGTTATTAAATGTAAATTGTGTATCTATTTGTCCTTATTTTTCACTATGACCAAACAACAGTGAAATCCTTATCTTACTTTCATTCACAGTGTCTTCACACAATTTCACAAATTACAATTTCTCTAGTATGTTAAACACCGGTTTTATGAAATACAACTTTCTGAATAAAAAATGTTAAAAGTTAAAGTTAATCTTTAATCTACTTTACATTTACATTTAGGTTTACTTTTTGGGAGTAAAGAATGAATTGAAATTACTTATTTTAGCTTCAGAAATAGTTTAGTGCTAAACTTAAAAAATATTTAGTACTTACATTGTGACCTGTATAATAATGGTTATTGATCAACTGATAAATCTTGACATGTCCACTTGTAGCATCTTTACTATTGGGTTGAGTATACTAGAATACCGGTATTTGCAGAGGGAGAGCTACAAATACAAAATACTGTACTGTGCAGTGGAGGGCAACTAAGTGTGTGAAGTGGCAGACAACTCACTGGTTTAATCTCCTCTTTGTTCAGTTTGCGACGATAAAGGAAGAATGCGTGAATGGAGTTGCCAGCTCTTGCTGCCTGGATCGGTGTGGGCGTCACAAACAAAAAATCCTACACAAAAAATGAAGAATCATCAATAAAGAAAACATGCTATGTTTAATGTTTGTATTTACTATTAAACTATGCTGCACACATGAGCTAATTTTCATTTGCCTGATTTTATTTGTGATGGAGAGAAAGTAGAGAGCAGTGTACAGGGATCCTAACCATGCACTACAAGTTGGATTGTCATGAGGTTTGAGATTTCAGACAAGAATTCATCTTCTATGGCTCCTATTGATTCATTTGAATCTACAGATCTGGTACACAACATTTGGTGCAGAGCAGACTTTTTTTTTTAAACTCCACTGAGATTCTCTCCACACCATTCCAGATTGATAATGGTAAGCACTCAATTCAGATTGCTACATGTATCAATCTGGATTTAGTCAGATTAGATGTTTTATTAAATATGTAGGTGATTAGATAAAGTCCTACCATGCCATAGTAGTTACTGTTGACCATTATAGGGCTTCTTCCACGAAGGTAAACATATTCTTCCCACCAGTCACTGACCTAGAGAGAAAAATAATGCTTTAGTCAACTTCACTTTCTGCCATTTTCAGACATCTATAATTTAGGACACTTGCTAGTGCTAGTATTAATGCATTGTGAGTGTGCTTTAGAATAGTATAACATGATGTGCAACATTACTTACATAGTTAGCAGCCCAGAGTGATTTAAGTTTGAGGTACCACTGCAGGCGGTTCCCCAGGCTGCCCTGAAACTCTTCTGCTAGTTTGGTTGTGCGTTCATATTTACTGTCATCCATAAGAGGACGCACAGACTCCAAGTACTGATCAAAGAAAAAAAGATACAGTATATGAAAAATTTGCGCTCACCACATTCGTTACCTGGCCAGCCAAAACTACACGCTTTGACAAAGCTTTACAAAGACAAGTGGATCTGGAGCTGATTGACAGGCCTATTACCCAATCAGAGAGATGCATGGTCTGGTCGTGTCAAAAACAAACATGGTGGGGAAAAAAACAATATTAAGCAGTGAGAAACTGCAATTTTTTGTTGAATCAACAAATGGAGACACCACATGGTGCTTTTAGGCACTGAATGTGTTTTTTACATCAAAGAACCATTCATGCATTCAAGTATGAACTCACTCCTGCTTATAGTACTCGATTACCACTTAGAAACTGCTATCTTTTCTGATTTTGTGGATTCCTTATCTTGATTTATACAGATTAAGCTTAAGTAGTAAGTGAGTAATAATACACCCAGCCAAGATATTGGAATAGTAATGCTGAATATAATGTTAATAAGTTTAAAATAATTAATTGTTTTATACCTAAAGGGCCTGTATACTGTAATTCATACAGCTTTATGGAATATCTCACCCTTTTGACAGTGTCTTTAATGGTGGGCACAGGCAGGTTTGGCAGTGAACCCTGGTAGCTGTAGAGAAGAGGCTTCCTGCCAGAAAAGATGCGCACCAGGGCCTGGCAAGGATACAAACATTATTTCACACACAGTATACAATATCTGCTTTATGCACCACAAGTAACTTCTTAGACTTTATCCTACATTAAAAAAATAAAGAGGTGACTAGAGCTTGGTTTGTTAAGTGTGAAGGGTGACACTGACCACCCAGACTTTGGTGGTGTTGGACATCTTTCCATGCTGCTCAAACATCCAGCGGTGGTAGGATAGGAGCTGTTTAAGGCAGAGTCTCATGGTGAATATGAGCAGTAGCCACAGCAGAGTACTGAAGAGCACTGCAGACACCACAGCCTGACACTGAGAACTCATCGACTGACTGAAAAAGGAGATGGGAGATACAAAATCCATATCAACTATGCATTAGTATGCACAACTATTCATTAGTATGCACAAGGACAAAGTAGGACTGGAATAATTTGTATTAAGATAAACTTTTCATAAGAACATTAGCTGTAACCATTTGAAATAGTCATGTGATACCTGACTGGTAGGTGCTCTTGTATTTTGGCTATGAGTCCCATGGATGGATCAGAGCGGGTGTACATTGTAGCCAAAATTGCAATGACCACAAATAACCATGAAGACGGACTGGCTGGGTAAACTCCTGTTATAACGTTGTTCTGTAAATGAATAGAAGAAGAAGAGTGCGTTGTGAAAACACAAAGCAGATTTTCCCGTGATTAGACGAGAGTACAATTCTTTTTAGAGTGCACATTGTAAACAACTCCAGGAGCATTAGCAGAGAGAACACTGTGATATGAACTAATACAAGAATGCCATGAATGTCAGTATGCTTATAGAGGTCTGTGGTGTCATGATACTAAAATTTACAACTCGATTTAAATTCTAAGGAATAGACTCGATACTTAATACTGATTCCGATATCAGGATGATAATTTTAAAATACAATTTCTTTAGACAATAGAATGTATTTTTCAACATAAATCACCATCATGTGGCCTTATACCACTGTCTTTTTTTCCATAGTGGTCCATGGATGTATACGAGTCTATGTGGTCTTATACTTACAGATCAAAAACTCTAAAGGTATTCAGGACAGGTTAACTTCTCTCCAGTGAATGTGACTCTTTTAGTATTGATGCCTACTCAAAATTTTAGTACTGATTAGTAACTGATTTTTCTATACTTTTGACTATCCTAGTCTAAACTAGAGGTACAGTGAGATTTTTCTCTAGACAGGATATTTTTTCTGATGACAAATGACACTGTATCCAAATAATTGTAATCTCTGGGATTTGACAATTGTACCAAATCAAATTGCGACATATTGTGCAGTATTTGAAATGACAATAGTTTTGGTAAATTGCACAGCCCCAAGAAAGAGGCAGGTCAAATTTGTTGTAATGGCAGGACCTTGAGTCTAATGATGCGCTTCTTCCAGGACCGTACTCCGGACAGGTAGATTTCAGAGAGCGCCTGGTGGGACAGCTGCAGGTCGATGCCCTCAGGAGTGACTGTGAACTGGAACGCCACGGCCTGGTGCGCCTCCGCCATTCTGTCTACAACCACACAGAGACACAAGTCAAGTCAAGGATTATGATTACTGCTGGGTTTCAAATGACACCACAACATTCTATATGCCAGTCATTTTACATACAGATGGGGAGCACAGCTAAAATGAATATGGTCAAGATGCATCTTTTTTCTTGTAATACATGAATATAATGGGACTAGTCACATTTGTGAATTCACCTTTTAGACATTTCATAGCAGAGTACTATGCAATCAATAGGGAAATCTAGACCCGCCCTCACTGCCCTCATTGCCCCTGCTCCTCCCCCTCAGGGACAAACTGAGGAGGCACAGCAGCAATGATGTCAACATGTTAGTAAATGTACAGCAGAACCACAATATATGGTTTATGAAAATGGTTGCAAATTGTTGCAATGCAAGAGTTAAGCCTGCTCAATAATAGAAAAATACTAATGATCATTCAAGTGATCATTTGCAGAAAAGAGGTGAAAACTGAACAGACGCAGGAGCAAAAAATATGCTGTAAGAATTTATTTATTTTTTTTGTAATGTGGCCATACTAGCTTGTCAAAGCCTTGTCCCTTCAGTTCTCAGAAGCAAAGCTAGGCCGGCCTAGTTACTACTTGGTTGGGAGACCACTGCGAAAATCAGGTGCCACAGTGGGGTGCCAGTCACAAAAACTGTTGTTGTATTCTTAGGCGAGGCACTTAACACACATTGCTTAGTATGACAGTGGAGTGTGCGTGAGTGAGTGGTAGCAGTTGGAGGGGGCAATGGCTCAGACTGGCAGTCTTGATTCTGTCAGTCTGCCCCACGGCAGCTTTGGCTACAGTAGTAGCTTACCATCACCAAGTGTGGAATGAATGAATAATGCTCTGTAAAGCGTCTCAAGAAAAGTGCTATATAAAACTGATGCATCATTGGCCCTCGCCACTAACAAAGTTAGTTATTAATTATAGAGTATAATATAACCATGATTAGCCATGAATAGTCAGTTAGCCCTGTGGAGAGGTGAAACATGTGGAAAAACTTCAAACTTCAGGGTTCAATTACTGCTATCAGTAACCAACAAAAAAATAATAAATAGACAAGAATAGTTCAAATAATAATTTTTCTTACTATATTCTAGACTAGTACAGCAAAAATAACTAAAACATAGCATTGCAGAATTCCTTTGCACCCAGGGGCAAATATGTTACATATTTGTACTATTAACCATGACTGACCCACTTACAAAAATAAGAACGCATGCAGGCTGGGCGATGATAATTGGGACCTAGAGTTATGGCAAGAACGAAAGAGAAAGCGACAAAAAGTGCTTTGAAATAAAATGGCTGCAAATTCATCAAATAATAATGATGAAATGTAAGTGTGGGCAAGTCCCATGCATTTTAAATCAAAACTCCTGGACACAACGAAGATTGATGGAGTTTGATGGCAGTGTGCTGACTGGCTGATGTGTGAGTGGAACTCTTGTTTAGGGCTATTACTGGCTCTTGCCACAAAATGAATTGATTTTTCTCCTCAAATAGGCTATGGATAATGCCCTCAGGTCAGATTCCTCTACACTAGATAGCAACCCAGAGGACAGCCCATGTACTCATTATATTCAGCTATGCCGGTGAAGCACATAATCATGGATCACATCATTGGTCCAGGTCAGAGAGGAGCGTTTCCGGATACAACATGATTTTAAACTAGCTATTGTTCTTATGTGGGAGGTTTACACACAAACAGTTCCTTATTTGTTAACGTGGATTAGTCTAGTTTAAATAGACTAAACCTGTATGAACCTCTAGAGTAAAAAAAATGAATGGTGAATAAGTGAGACAGTTTTGTAATAGTTTAATATTCATTAAAGTGCAATATAATTTATAACTAGAGATACAGGACATACAACCTCCCTTCAGTCCACTGGCATCTTATGGTACCCCCCACAATTAGACAACCAGTTTTTCTAAACCCGTTTTTCTTTACATTTGAGATTGGGTTGAACTAGTGGAATATTTGGTTACATGCTTATTGTTCATTTACTGTAAAGATAGGGTTGTATGATTGCTGTCTAATTTGGAAAATTTAGCAAATCATAAGGACAGGACTGAACAGGACTGAGTTGCGTGCTTAGGGGATTGTTATGTCAACATAAAACCATTATGCTGAATTTCAGTAGGAAGACAACGAGAGAAAAAAATGAAAATGAAATGAAATGAAAAGGGAAGTTAGAGCTGAGCTGATGATGAAGTTATGAGAACCCGCCAACTGTAGCTACCGGTGGAATCTCAATGTACATGTACAGTTTAGTACAATTCTTTCCATATGGTGTTCATTTATAATAAGTCACACATTGCAGTACAGTCTGTTTACCATGCAATATACTGTTGATTTGGATCGCCCGTCAATGGATTCACGCTTACAGTTATTTGGCAATCGCTTAACAAAAGAAATACGTCTGAGTCTGAAATACATTAGCTCGGCTAACGCCGACCCTATGCAAGCTAACGTTAACAGTCAACATAAAGCTACAATACAGCAAAGACAATGTTGTACCAGAATGGTGTGCAAACCACGGCGCGTTAAAAGGCCTACCTTCTCTTCTAAAGCGATTTGGGATAAAAAATAAACAGCGTAGCAAAAACCGCACACCATGAACTTCCGACGTCGACCAAGCCCCCGTAACCGTGTGGCTGTACTGTACCCTCCTCCCGCTGCGCTCTGTGGATGTATGCGCACAGCTCACCGGAGGAGCGGAGAGGCCGGAGGGAGGGACTGATGGACCGCCTCTCCATCCGCACGGACATGCGCAGAGCAAAACATTTAAACCATCAAACACAGTAAGTAGAGTCTGCGCACATCCTTTTAAGCATTTTAACAGAATGAACACATATACTATGGTAGTAATCGTGTGAAATATTCACCTGGCCAGAGTCATTTTCTTGACAATAAAAAGCAGCATAGTCAGCTAAAGAAATCACTCACAATAAATTCGATTCATAAGGTGGTTCTCTCTTTATTTCATCATCAATTCAATCATAATTTTAATTTTTATCACAGGCAATAGTTATAGTGCACTTTTTATATTTAAATTATATATATTTATATATATTACAGACATTTCTTTTTAAACACCTTATTCTACTGACCCTTATGAATGGAGAATAGTTTACAATCTTAGCCAGAGTTGGGTTAATGAAAGTGAAATTGTGAAACTAATGACTGTGAATAGATTAATTATAAAGTGGTAATAAGTGCGACAAAAGTCCAAAAATGTTCTCCTGTACTCAAAATGGATACAGAAATAGTGAGGATGAGAATGGGGAATGAAATTAAGCATACAAACTGCCTTATATTTTGGGTCTTTTGTTGCTGTGAAAAATGTCACAATTAATCCGTATTCTCCAAGTCTTCAACCCCATGTCAAAAGATAAAATTCCAATATAAGAACTTAACAGAAAACACCAATATGATGATCTAAAGAGACACATTTTCCAAAGGTTATAAGGGAATGGTGTTTTTAGGTATGTCAAATGACAAAAGGAATTGTGTTTTTAGAGATGTCAAATGACGAAGGGAATTGTGTTTTTAGAGATGTCAAATGACGAAGGGAATTGTGTTTTTAGATATGTCAAATGACGAAGGGAATGGTGTTTTAGATATGTCAAATGACAAACAGTACAATTATGGTGGCTTCAGGGAGTAACTTGAAATAATATATGAATGAAAACTAAACACGAAAGTGAGCTGTAGCACTGTGCATCTCTCTGTAATCCTTGGGTACTCTTCTTGCATAATTGTGCTGCATGGAAGACTGGTGATGAACAAGTCAGACAGACAATGGCATGAAAACAGGTTCAGGTTGTTTTAACTTTAAGTACAATGCGGCTCTGGAGCGAGATGAGTGGGCTGTCTGTGATGGGGGGGCTACTTGGCTTGTAGGTGATGAGGAGGACTTAGGAGATTCAATCCTTGGAGAGTCTCATACACAAGGAACAATGCAAGTCTTAGTCTGAGACTGAACATTTCGTCAGATGGATGTTGGGAGAAAGGTTTTGTATGTGATTCCTTTTCTTCTCTTTTAGCAGTAAAGTATGATGAGAAAGATTTTTCCTTCATCTTTCTGGTCACAAACCACTATTCACAAATAGTGTAATCTTCCATGTCATAACTGTCAATATACTTGTTCAAATAAAAAATATTTAATCTTCAGAATAAGAAGGGTCCACTTTAAAATGGAAGCATTGCTTCAAGTTGTTTTTGATGAAATCAAAAACAAAAGTCCCTTTTTACAACGCTGGAGATTTTGTTGTAGACATCTTCATCATGATAAATAAATAAATACAAAAAAATGAATAAATAAATAAACATTCACAGAGGTTACTTTGACAAGAGAGAACTATTGGAAAAGGTCTATTCCTACACCTAGGACCACTCATGGATTATCTCCACATGGTCCGCTTATTGTTTCTGATTGCAGCAGGGTAATTGTTCTTTTGATGTAAATTTGTTGAACTCTTAATTCTTTTTGGCATCAAATACTTTAGAAGTGTGACTATTAGCAGGCTGGTTTGTTAACTGGCATGCACATTTGCACTTCAGAATTGCTAGGTGATCTATGAAGCTGACTTTATGTTATTAAACTGTTTATTTGAGAGTAATTACTGAATACAGTGATGACTACACTGTTTCTGGAATTTTGGTGATTCCAAGAATTGGAAAAAAGCGCACTGTGAAAATGGCTCCGTCCTTGCTATAGACAAGCACTTTCTATAGCTTATTTAAGGAAGGATAGGAGTTACTGATGAGTGGAAGGGACACAAAGTAGAGGTTATAGGTCTTCTTTCTACCGAGGTCCAGACATCCGTTGGTCCAATTCCTTAGGGCTGGGACTGGGTTCCATTTGAGGATAGCAGTCGGGTCCTCTCTTTGGCTGAGCCTCTCCGCTGTAGGACTCCTCCACTGCCTCCGATTCCACTGCCATCTGCACGGTCTCCCCAGTCACACCGGTCGCCCCCACCCTCGGAGCGCCTGGAATTTTGGCGGGTGGGGGTCCCATGGGGCCGGCCGTTCTTCTCATCTGGGAAGGGATCAACAGCAGAAAACAGGAAAATAAGTCATACATTATATTTTGTTTGTATGAATACATTTGATGACCTATGGTCATGAGCTTTGGGTAATGACCAAAAGGGCAAGATTGTGGATGCAAGCGGCCAAAATTAGTATCCTTCACAGGGTGGCTGGGTGCTCCCTTAGAGATAGGTTGAGGAGCTCAGGTACATGGGAGGAGCTCAGAGTAGAGCTACTGCTCCTCCACATCAAGACGAGCCAGCTGAGGTGGCTTGGGCATCTATTCTGGATGCCTCTTGGATGCCTCCCTGGGGAGGTATTCCAGGCTTGTCCCACCGGAAGGAGGCCCTGGGGAAGACACGGGACACGCTGGATGGACTATGTCTCTTGGCTGGCCTCAGGGTCTCCCAGAAGGAGCTGAAGGAAGTGTTCTGGGTGTATGAAGTCTAGGAGTCTCTGCTTTAACCTGCTGCTCCCACGACCCAGTCCCGGATAAGTGGAAGAAAATGGATGGATGGAATAAATGTTATGCACATAGAAATATAAAAAGTATATCGTGTTAACTGTTTGTTTTCCTTTTAGTCAGTGAATTATTGTTAATATTTTGAGTTAAAGAGACACATTCTTCTTTGCTCATATTTCCTAGTGCCAGTAATTGAACAGAGCACGGTACAACACTGTACACTGTACTTTACAACTTTATGTTAAAGTAATAAAAATGGTTCAAGTAGTCCACAAAGAGCAAAGGGTGAGGTTTACACTTACATACACGCCACGTTTACACACGCCACATCCATCAAAATTGGGACTAGACTTAGAAAACTCAGAACTGATTCTGAAATAGACCAGGAACACGGTCAAACCAAGTCTACTTCAGAAATAAACCTGGCTCAAACCAGGGCAAGAAAAAACATGCATTACAAAGCTGAGTAGAGCGGCTATTACCACATAGGGCTTGCATCAATGGTTGATCATGGGAGCTGAGAAGTTGAGCTTGAATCGTTTCCACCACTCGTCTGAACCTGCGACTCGGACCTTCAGTAAACAGAGTGAAAGAGTTTAGGTCAGAGTTTATTGAATAATTAATTATATAATTATTGTGAATATTGAAAAAAAACATGCACCATGTCTTATTTGGCTGATATTTACTAAGAATGTAATACAGATTTGCATGATAAGAAGATTAATAATAATTAATAATTCTGCACATTTTTTTAAGCAGAACTAAGCTACTTTCAGCAATAGAGTTCCCCCTGCAGCTCCATTATGAGAGTGTGAGGGATGAGACTCAAAAGCATTCTTTTTTCTCTTTTTATTGAAATAGAGCAATATAATCACATAAAAAAATATAATGTTGCCAAATATTTAAAAAAGAGCCAGGGTTTCCCAGGAGAACTCTCTTTGGGTCATTTCGGGCATATTATAAGGCTCATTTTCCACCTGGAGACAACAGGTGGAGATGATAGACACTTCAAACACCCTGAAGATACATATTTAACCATTACAGGGACAAAAATGTTTAAAACTTAGTTCTGCTTAAATATCTGTTTTATGATTTTGCTGATATGACTGTGAATAATCACAATTTCTTAAACATGTTTCATATTGATTTGCCTGATATGAGGGTGAATGTCACGCTGTAGATCCCCGTCTCCCTCCTGCTCTCCCTGTCCCCGCGTTCTCTCTCGCTCTCGGAGAACGCGATGTCCACCTGGAACTTGACGGGCTTCTGGAAGACGGAGGGGCCGGCGGAGGACTTGTACTCGGCTCTGAAGCTGGTCTGTGAGAGGACGCTGTGGCTGAGGGACGGGATCTGCGCGGTGGGGAGACAGAGAAGCAGAGAGACCAACAGACTTACGAGGCAGGAGAGGTACGGGGTTTGACGTGAGTGTGGGGAGACAAAGGGTGGAGGGTGAGGAGAGGAGAGAGAGAGTGAGCCGTGTGATTCAAACGTGCAGCAAGCCAGAAAAGCACAAATACAGAGAAAAAACTGAAATGATGGCAAATATGAAGTGAGCATAATATTGGGTCCACCCCTGCAGCTATGCCAGTAAGCCATGCCTTTTCAAACCAGTGCAGAAGATAATAACAGACGTGAGAGACAGAAAATATGAAATACTTACAGACAGAAAGGCATGGACTATGTCGGCTTTGACAGAGCTCAAGGGTTTATCTCGGATCACCACAAAGATCTGCTCCTCTTTTTCCAAGCCAATGAAATTCCCAAACCAGGACTTCTTAGCCAGTCTGCAATTGTGGGTGTAATTAAAATTATGCAACAGATATTAAATAAGCAAAACTCTCAAAATGTGATAACTTACTCTGGGCTTGATTCTGGCGTTAAACTGGACATGTCCTCCGATGTTGGAACTACAACACAAGGAGTATCTTTGTTATTCTGTTTGATTTCATATACACACACACTATATATATATATATATATATATATATATATATATATATATATATATATATATATATATATAAAATTCAAAAAACTCTATAACTATCTATATTGATGTACACAGTCTAAAAGGCCCAAGACACAAATGTCTGAAATACATGGTGTTGATAACACAGCAACCTGTGGCTTACCTCATAACTTAAATATTGTAATACTTAGTACTTGTACAGTAGTTACGGCTGCTTATAATAGTCTGGCCAGCCAGAAAAGCACCCTTTGACAAAACTTTACAAAGATGAGTAGATATGGCGCTGTATCCTTTCTCCCTGATTTCAGAGGGCATGATTGACAGGTGGACTGACCAATCAGAGCATGCTCTATTTGAGTCAAAAACAAACATGGCTGCTTACACATAAAAAAGGAGAAAAAATATCCATAAAGGACTGAGAAACAGTGTTGATTTTTATAGAATCAACAACTAAAGCACCAGACTAATACTTATTTCAGGTAAAAGGGAGACACATGCTACAAAGTAGCGGCTGTGGTTGGATCATTAAAAACCCTTCTGGACATGAACAAAATGAAGGGACTGGCTAACACTGGATTTAATGAGATTGAGCTGCAATGCAAATTTTGTTTAAGGTTTCCTATTATTATTATATTTTGCTTCTCAATGTGCATAAATTGTCCCTTGAGAACAAATAAAATGATATTGATTATATAGGATGTGCTATAGTCATCAAAAACACCATATGAAAATTTGCATGACATATAACCTGATTGAGACAACATTTGTTATTTTGTAATATGTTGTGTACTCACCTTGCAATTTGCGGCGATGAAAGCGTGGAGACCCGAGCAGGTTGTTCTTAAAGGAGTTAAGGCGGGTTCTCCAGTGGGCTGAGCTACTCGCCGCCATGCCGCTCCCTCCCCCAGGACTGGAGGGAGGGGTGAGTGACAGTGAACCCACGCCTCCCCCTCCGTCGGCCCGCGAAGAGGATGAGGACGAGGAAGAGGAGGGCGGGGTGGAGGAAGGGTGGTGAGGGTGATGGACAGGGGTGCCCAGCGGTGTGGGTAGTGGCGAGCCCTGAGGCGTCACCTGCGGCACAGAGTGGGTACAGTTTGGGTAGAAGCTCTTTGTCACAGACTTTAGGACAGAGGACGACGGGAAGAAGAAGCGAGGAATGGGTGAGAGGAGGGGAGACGGGGAGGGTGAGGATGGGTTGTGGAGTGGCAGGGATTTGATGGCCTGCAGATGTGGGCGCTCAGTGGGTCCTTTGGTGGGTAAGGTTTGTGTCTTTGGAGTCTGTGGAGGTTTAGGCTTTTCATGAGCGCGTGCCAGACGTGGAGTGGTGGTGCTCCCCTGTTTGGCCTCCTTTTTATGAGGGGTGGTAGAGGCTGAAGTGACATCTGATTGGCTGAAAGTGAACACAGGGCTCTGATAGGACTGGGATGGGTTTGGAGGGTGGGGTGATTGAAGAAATGAAAAGTAAAAGAGGAAATAGAAGATGGGGAAAGAAAGAGAAGGATGGAAATGAATATCATGCTCCATGAAAAGAGTGCAAAGTGTGTAACATTTGTGTGTGTCATTTGAGTGGAAGCAGAGATGTTTACATGAAGTGAAACAGGACAGTGGCTGTGATTGTGATAAAGTGATGGTGAATTATGTTGAATATGTTATATGAATTATTTCACGTACAGTAATATAGTTAGAGGATGTGTATACTGCACAGTACTAGCAAATACAGATTTATATTCATAGCATAAGAAATAAATACATAAGGGTATTTACCATGCGGTAAAACAAAACATATACAAGACAAATAAAATACACAGTACACGTAGTTTTAAATGGCAGGTGGAGGCCTTACCCGAGGGCTGCTCAGAGGACTTGAGGAGAGACCAGTCGATGCTCCACTGACTGAACGAGACCTAAAGAATGTGAAAAGGAAACAAATAGTGTCCTAAATCTGCATGATCTGTGCATATAGTGTATACAGTACCTCTGGCTGTGAGCAGCTGTATCTAAAGCCCTGCGAGGAGGGGTGGGAGACCCCTGTTCAGTCACACTCAGGACCTCCAGACTTTTCCTTTCAGGGCGACAGCGCCCATGGCGTGTCAACATCGGAGAGTCAACACGCTTCCGTGGGGGATCTGCTGAGAGTCATCAGCACACCAACTTCACATTAACATGTGCAGGTATTTTTGTACAACCCATGGAGACATGAAACTATAAGATGATATACCCCCACAGTTTCCTTTCATCACTTTGCCACTTTGAGTTTATTTTCTACTTTGTAACTTTCTTATGTATTACCATGTTTTTTCACTGTACGATCTGTCATATGATGATGGAGCATAACCTACAAAGGCAAAGTGTCCACTTCTGGCTCATAGATGTCCTATCCTCTGGGATCTGTTTTGAAAGTTTGAAGTTTACCAAATATTAACTTAAAAATAGATTCAGCTATACAGATTATTTGAAATGAAGCATTTTGCTTAATGCAATAAATAAATAAAATGAAAATTCAAATAATATTAATTTTATTTACCTCCCTCTTTACATGATTTATGTATTCCTCCTGTCCCCTACAGACTGACCTATGTCATTGCGTGGGGGCAAATCCTCATCCTCATAACTAGGGTAGCGCTCCTTTCTGTCCAGCAGTAGGTAGTAAATAAGTTTCTCCTGGTTTTCTCTGAAAGTACATATAAACAAACACTCTTTACACATGAATACTGACAATTTCCCACACTGTGCAACAAGTAAAGGTTCTCTGAATCAAATTACTGCAGATAATATAAAGTGTCATTTAGTACTGAATAAATCTAGGTTTAAGTAAAACATAAGGGTTTGTGTAAAGAATGAGACACTGAATGACTTACTCTTCACATTGCAGGTCCCGGGTGAGCTTGACTCTATCCCTGAAGCATCCCAGTGAGTGCATACTGTCCAACACATCTGGGTCCAGCTCAGTCAGGGACAGGATTCGTCTTACACACACTCGTCTGGGAGGGGGCTGCTCAGGACATGGCTCACTACGGCTACCCCTGTGCAAATGCATGGGGAGTACAATGTACCATGTAATAAAAATGTATTTATAATTAAAACAATTACAACAAAATCATACTTACTGATACCAAGGGTGCTTTTGAATGCATTCAAGCTGTAAATATTACAAATATTACAAAAATTAATTTTGAATCCTGAACAATTTATTTAAGATATAATCTATAAGAAATGATTAATCCCCACTACTAGTATCAAGTAGCACTCTTTAACTTGAACATGTGGTTATAGTGTATGTTTGCCTGAATAAGCCATGTTCTGTTTATCATGCAACAGACAAATAAAGTTGTATTCTATTTGATTCTAGTGAACTGATGCATCTTCATCAAGTAAATTTTAAATAAAATCAATCTCCAAGATCTTTGTATCCTGTACCGACACAAAACACAGGAGAGTCCTACCGTGAGCCTTTTTTCCGGGTTGACCTCGATCATGCCCTTGAGCAGAGACTGACAGTCTGGTGGAATAAAGTGTGGCATATGGAACACCCCACTCTTCACTTTCTCCAGCAGTTGACGTAAATTGTCATGGTCAAACGGCAAAGCGCCCTGCAAAAGTGAAAGTCAAATTAAATGCACTGCATTATTGATTAATGAATGGGTGTCTTACCACTAGAAGAGCAAAAAGGATAACTCCGCAGCTCCACACATCTGCTCTTCGACCATCGTATTTTTCACCCTATGAAACAGTTAACAACCAATATAAATTGTGTTATAGATAAAGAGGACAGTAATTTTATACCATACAATGTTCATTTGTAACAGCTGAGGATTTATATTACAACTACATTAACACTACAATATTTAAATATTTCAAAATGACAGGTTACCCGTATAACTTCAGGGCAGGCATAATGAGGTGATCTGAAAGGAAAACAAGAAGTGTATTCATATTCAAGGAAGAAATTATGTCCACCACAATAACAAAATAATTCTTTATGATTTTATGCAACTCACCCACAACTGGTTTCTAGCAGACTGTCTCCCACCTGTAGGGACGCCATGCCAAAGTCTGCAATCCTGATATTGTTTTTCTCATCTAAGAGCAGGTTTTCAGGCTTTAAATCTCTGTGACTGGACACATATAATAAAAAATACTATAACATAGAATAAAGAGTATCATGTTTTTTGTATCTTTATAAAACCAACCAAATGGAGTGACTGTGGCAAAAATCCAAAGCAGAAATGATCTGCCTGAAGAACTTCCGGGCCTCTTTTGGAGTCAGCCTGCCCTTTTTAACCAGATAGTCAAACAACTCTCCACCAGACACATGCTCCAATACCAAGTACCTATAAATACAAAAGATTTTTTTAGTATGTACCCTGTTGACAACCAAAATCGGGTATTACAATCCTGATGTATGTGTACAGTTTGAGGCAGTAAGAAGTGATTAAAAAAATGCAAGAGCAGGATGTAACATTGTTATGAAAAGAAAAGGAACTCACAGATATTTGTTATTTTCATAGACATCATGCAGCTTTAACACATGCGGATGCTCAATCAGTTTTAGAATGGCAATCTCTCTCTCCACCTAATCAAAGAAGAAGACAGAAGCAAGATGCAAAGCAGAGAAATTAGGGTTGTTATCAAGCAGCAAAGTGAAGAAGAATCCCACAGACTTAACATAATTATAGTGTTATTATTGTTGAAAATGACAAGTTGCTTCATACCTTCATAAGTACCGACTCTGAGAGTTTTTCTCTGTTGACTATTTTAATGGCTACTTTTTGACCCGTAATACAGTGGACCCCCAGCTTGACCAGGCCTAAAAAGAAATGCACTTGTTTCATATGACATCTGTAATTGTAATAAATTAAAGGTTAAAGGAACAAAACACAAAACCCTTACCTGTCTGCCCCTTTCCCAGTGTTTTCTCAAGACGATAGGGCCCAACATATTGAGCAGACTGACTTAGTGACAGTTCCTTACTCATAATGCTTAAAAGGATGCTGTTGGACGACTACCAGGACTGATACAGCACTGTAGCTATTGCAAATGCAAATTTGATCATGGAGGGCCAGAAAATTGCTGTGAAGTTTAAGCTATACCACAAATAATTTCATTGACACTACAACTCTGACATTCTCTTTTTACATACTGGTTGATCGAGTGTATTACTGAGTTCCTACATGAGGCCTAAACTTAGCTAATAAACATTCTGAAACACTGCTCTAAATGTCGAACAAGTAATTTATTAACAATTTAACAAAACGAGTAAGATTGATTAAGGTCTAGAAGCTTGTTTATCTTATGCCTACCTACCACATATTTACATAGGCCTAATGACATCACAATGCCACCAAACAAGCCTTTATTCACATTTGGAGCGAGAATGATTTCCCTTTGAATGACATAAACGTAAATGCGTTAGTTAAACAGTTTAACAGCGTCGTATTTTAGGTTTAAAACATGCTATATTAGCCTCAGCTCACCTAGAACTGTGAGGCTAGCTTTAGCTTCGACGCCTTGGCCAACACCGCCTGTCAAAATAATTCACAATTCCACAAGTTTCTGGACATCGACCAACGATACGTTTTGAAGCCCTGTCGCCACATTGTCACATTATTTGGAGTTGAACTGCTTATTCTTTGCCAAACAAGCATCTTTAGCGTAGCCTAGCGCCCCCCCTCCCTGACTCTCCCCGTCTCTCCCTCAAGTAGCGGATCACAGCATCTTCTGCGCTCTCCTCTGGAGTGTCCTCCCCATCACCGCTCCACACACAGGTACAAAACGCAAATATCCACAGATATGGCGGGCCGCTCTCAAACTCTTTTGGTCCTTTGTAATTATTTGAGTTCACGCAGTGTCAAGGCCCGCTGCATGACGCTCCCCTTCTGAATCTTTGCCGTAAATCGATATTTTCTCTCCGCTCTTCCTTCGCCTCTCTCGCATCAGCATCCGGGTCCCTCTCCATCCTCTCGCCTCCCTCCCCCGCCCTCGCCCGCTTCCTCCTGGCTGTGGTTCTCAAAATACGCCTATCTCTGCATTCACCTCCACTGGCCGCACTCTGGGGCTCATGTGCCATTGCATGTGCGTCTGCTACACCTCCCTCAGGGGGATCCATCCCTACAGGCGCAGGCATGTGTAAATATGGCCGGAGATATGGCCGGAGGGAATGAGAGCAGCAGGGCAGAACTGCCTCGCCCTCGGCCTTTCACGGTCACGGGAGTCCGGTTAATAAACCTCCGGCTAGTAGACCCATGAATTCGTTGCCTTAATTATAATTAAAGCGTGAGACATTTAGGCTACAGGTTAGTTCAAATCTCAGTCGCTAAAGACAGACAAGTAATTTGCCTAACCTTAGTCTGTTTGTTTATGGTGTGGATCTGTTGTAATAAATGAGAATGCAGAAATCCTGCAAATTCTCGCAAAACCATCATTGCATTGAGTAAATGTAGGCATGGCAATATGTCGAGACTCGAGAGTGGCAGATGGCAAAATTAAGTATGGATACTAGTGGATGTAAATTGCAATCTGTAAAGTATCTTAAAGCCTCTGAGGTCTGAGTTTCAATTGTGTTGTGGGTGGATAATTCCCCAAAGTCTGTATTTATCTGTTCCAAGCTGGTTGATTTGCTTTCAGCCAGAAAGACTATATTCATGCACAGAAATAGAATTGAACAGATTTAAGATCCTTCATCCAAACAAACAGGCAAGCTATGGGACAATGAAGGGTGCAAATAAACTGTACATGCATGTTAATAAATGTTGATTTATTTCTGTTGTAAACCCTTTCAAAAGATTTGCTTGTAGCTGATGGTTTGCACTTGTCCTCCTCATTGCAGGCTGAAAGTGACCAATAGGCTAATGCACAGATTAGGCAAAGATTAACAAGCTTTCCTTAACTCCATTAAGAGTGTCCTCTGCAAACCTGTCTAGGTTGAAGACACAGGCCGACAATCTATTGGTGGAAAACATTGTGATACCTAGAGGTTCAAATAGGCTAGAAGAAAAGGCATTTTTAAAATTTAATATAAAACCTTATAATTTACACAGCCTGGAAAAAATACATTAACCAAATACCAAATGCAAAACTGGGTAATTGAGGATCTGTGAAATAAAACAAAAACATAAGCAGGCTATTAATAGAACAATATGAATGTTGAATAGGAATACTACATAACCTACATTATAGCACAAATATGCTGTCATCAGCTAGTGTAATATCAACACAAAATATAAATGTCATTAGTTATAATATAGGCTACTTACACTGTCTGATTTATATCATGATCCTTCAGACAGGGTTTTGATACAGGCCTGGAAAGCATCTATGAGGTCTTTACAAGGCACCTCTCCCTTCTCTGTGACACTGGAAAGCAACAGTCTATCAGTGCGACATACTTTGTGACAGTAGACTTCAAATCAAAATATTGTCTTTGTGACATGCCGGAAGGATTACAATGCACTCAGAATTGTGGTGGCTTTTAGTGATGTTGGGAAAATCTATTGCAGATCCATCTATAATCTCCATGTGCACATAATGTGCACATATACCAAATATACTGCTTGCTGCAAGCACGTAACATGAGCCATGGTGTGACTCACATGTTACTATTTAAAAACACAGAGCTATATATGAACACATATTTGTGGGATTATTTTGTCACATGGTGTTTACAGTATGGACATGTAAAGAAGAATTGTTGATAAGATGACAACTTTTTACATTTACATCACTCATATGTTCAGGAGCTAATACAAAGTATACTTTTGCTAAAATATAATGACAGCTGTGAAGAATGATGTGATCTATAGATGAACTTTTGTTCGACTCACCATTTGTCAACATTCTCCTTAATGACCTGGCATGATGCTGGCACACCTTCCACTGAGTCTGGCATTTTGGCAGAAGAGCTGGAGTTTCTGGAGGTGCAAAAGCTTTATGTTGCAGTGCTCAGACCGACCAGCACAGTGAAAGAGTGAGGGAGGGCGAGACCTGACCACGAATGATAGGCGTCAAAGTTTAAAAGCATTCAGATGAAATGTAAAATTGCTCCTTTGTCCTACTCCTTGCTGGGTCTTTGGTCATTTTGTGATTACTCCATTGCACTTATGTTGATAAACTACACTTGCTTAGTTATTTCTTTGTTTTTATTGTGTGATTATGCAGGGTCTCCCAGTGAACCTTTTACATTACAAAAGCCTGTAATGACACCTTAAATGCCCTCCACAGGAGAGTTGGCAGAGTGTATTTTCCTGAAGACACTAACTGGGGAAATCCAAGCTTAAGTAAATGTTTGCAGTGGTCTAAACATTGTTTGGTTGTGATCATATGACATCACCATATTTTAGAATGTTTAAACTTAGTTGGACAGCAGGTCAGAAATACATTTTTTATCTGATTTATGTTTAATATCGGAGTAATTACCGAGTGTCTATAGCCACATGAAGCAGAACTAAATAAATGTCAAGGTCTTCTCTTACAAAAAATAATACAGTGAAATATTTTTTCAGTATTAAGAAAAATCTACATTTGACAGTTTTCATTATTTCTCTCAAAAACAGTGAATCTCCCATAGTCACCTTTAAATTGACTAAATCAAGTAAATGCTATTCAAATTTTAGAATTTTGTAAAAACATTTGTAAGCTAAATACAATAATAACAAATGTAACTTGTAAATGTAATAAATGTGAAGAAAAGTTTGTGTCCCATTTCCAGTATTAAATTTCACCACTAGGGGGTGTCCTTACCTACAATTTTTAAACATCCAATTAGACATCATTAGATGAATAATTAAGCACAGGTCATTGTTTGGAATAGGCCTAATCATTTGTGCAGGCTACAAGGCAGAATGTGAAAATGATAATGCCTCCATAGACAATTAAAAACAGACTATAACAAAAGTAGGCATTTCACATACTGCTGTCCTCAACAATCTGATTTTAATAATTATCATGACACTGTGCCATCTGCTGGTGTCAAAATATACTACAGGAAATTCCAATTTCAAAATTCAACCCAGCGAGGGAATACAGAAAACCTAAAGGGGAATGCTTTAGATATTCTTGGGACATTGATAGGACGTAGATCCATGGAGTAGGGCCTCCTTAGGTTTTGAGATACTTCAATATATTGTGTAATTGTAGGCTACTTTTAATTATAGTTTCAGGCTTGAATTATTATTGCTGATTTAACAATTACAATATTCCAGTTACAACCAATTATAACAATTACTACCAAATATAATGTATAGCCTATGCGTAGCCTATATAATGCTCCATCTGTGCCAACCGCACATGGACACTGCAGCTGCATCTGGCCGTTTTTGCGTAAATGGCCGTGTATGAGTGCTTTTAGACAAACAATAAGGTTAAAATGTGGATAGGCGTGCTGGGCTGGTTCAAACTGAGGGCCGGTGAATGGAGGTCAGCGCAGACAGTGTGTGAGTCTCTGCGGTGAGACAGAAAGGGGGAGAGGGAGGACGGACAGCGGCCAGCCGCCTTCAAAAATGGCGTCTCCGGAGGAAAATGAGTAAAAAATATAAAAACGCGGCCTACTTTCTTGGCAATTCTTTTGTCGGTTTTTAAGGCTTTTTTGCACCTGGTTTGCATTTTCCCCGGTGTGCGTAAACTTGCTCCGTCTTTGAATGGATTAGCAAAAGAAAGCCAAAAGGAGAGCGGTCAGTTGGGAAAATAAAGGCAGCCCTGTGTTATTCGGATGCGTCGTTCCTGACAGCTAGCATCTGCTGCTAAGGCTAACTACTGCTCTGCTACCGGAGGAGGGGGTGGGAACCATTTGCACGCGAAGAAAAAAGATTTTAGAAACTGGGGATTTCTTTGCTCATCTGTGGTGAATGGTTAATATCAACGTGGCCAGTCTATTCTAGTTCTTTTAGGCGCTAGCGGTGTAGCAAAAACTAGCCTTAAGAAAGGGGAGGAGAAACGGAGAAAGAGGACGCATTCAAATCAAATGTTTGTCATCGCCTCGTCTATCACCGGTGTAATCGGCCTCATCTTCATCATGAACATAACCCATTTTGGAGTATATCTGCGCTGGAGGAAATGATAAACGTGAACGACGAAGGATACGGAGAGGGTTTTTTGGAGGTGGTTGGATTATAACCCCGTAGACCCCCCTCTTTTCATCTAGCTTTCTCCTCCTCCCCACCATTTCTCTTTCAATATGCTGTTTTCCACTCCTGACGACTTGCTTATGAAACCGGGGAAAATAGCCTGAAACAGAGAACGGGAAAGACTACATTTTTCCGTAATAATCTGTTCTGCGACGTTGCATTCGTCCTCGCGCTCACATTGATTGTTCAACACATAAATGGATAGGAATTACCCGGGAACAGGATTTGGCGATTTGGGCGCAGGAGCAGGATGGAGTTACGAGAGATCGGCAAAAGCAAGGTATGCATTGGATTCAGACAATGTGCACGCATCACTAGTGTTTTGCAGAGCACGATGTGACCTATGTAAACAAATTGTCGCCTCTGGCTTCTCAAGGAGGCATGGGCAGCCATAATGTGCAGTGCATTGTCATCTAAACACTTGCATAGTAATAATATTCTAAACAGCAATGGAGCAGGGGTGGGCGGGGTGGAGAAACGAAAGGTTGGGGATAGAATTGAATGTGATTGACAGGCGTGGGTTAGGTAGACCTGGCGGGGTGGAGGAGGTGGTGATGGTGGAGGTGGGGGGATGTCTGGAGCATCCATAGGAATTATTGTTCCCTGTGTGCAGGCCTGGACACATAGCCCCATAGATAAATTCATAGGACTGATAGGAACTAAGGAGTTCAGGCGCATAAAACCGCGCACAGTATTCCCGTTCTAAATAGACGCACATGTTCTGTAAAACCTAGCTATTTCCACTATAATTTCTCAATGGTGACAATCTAACATTTCAAAATTGTGGTTGACAATTCCGCAACACAAAGTGGCTATTTCTTATGCCTGTTTGCTACAACGTCATTTGGGCATTTAGATGCTTGGGGGGACATTTTGCGGCTGAGGAAGAAAATATAACATATTGGTGTCAAAGGCATTATAATGCATGTAGTTGTGAACTCCACCGCCATGAAAAATATGAATACATTTTATGGACTGTACATGGTGGCTCTTGTGGTTTAGCTTCACGTTACGTTAGCCTAAGTGCTAGCGTCCTGATTTGAGGCCTGTCCAGGCATCACTGCGTCTATGTTGTTACAATACAGGATCCTTTGAATTCTACTGACGAAGTGGTAAAATTTACAAAGTAATAACAACGTAAAGGCCATTTGTGACTACAAACTCCACGGACTGCCTGTGTTTGTTTGCAGCTTAGCTTGCATTTGCGTCGACTCACATCCAGCTGTTAGCCGCATCAACATATTGATTGGTGGCGGAAACGGACTGAAATTAAAATTGGGCAGTTTGCATAAACAAACAGAAACGGTAAAATTGAAGTCTGAACGTTCATGAGATATAATCATTACACTTAATTGTCCGATCATGCATTTTGGGCCTACGCTGTGCACCTTTTTTCCATTTTGGGGCTAGGTGGTGCTATGAGCAGAATAAATGCTAACATGAACAGCCTGGCATTTTATCTAAGAGCAATGACATGCACGTGCACAATGTAGCAGTGTGATAAGTCGCATGAAAATAAATTGAGTCTAAAATGATTGATTAAAATTATAATGGCAAATTGACTTAATTGTTTTGCATGATGGGGTGCAATTAAATACAATGGTACTTTGGGGGGTTAACGATTTTAGCTGGTAACAAGTCAATTAGTATACAAAATAGAGAATGCATACTATAATTATCTAACTAGTTATAAAGACTAATGTGCCAAATGTAATTTCCTCATATCCATTGTACTTATTCACATTGACTACATTATTAATTTTTGTAGAATATTTTAGAAATTAATTCATTTAGCAATTAAGTCTATTTTAATTCAGGTAAAAAAACAAAATCATAAAATTATGTATTATCAACTCCTCAAATTTCTCTTTCTTCACAGTCTTGTATATGGGAGTTCAAGATCATCCCATCCTGAGTCTGAGCTTCTTCACAGACAAGCCTACGCCACCCCACACCCTCTGCAGGGCTATGCCACCAATCACCACCCAGGGAGTTCTGGACAAGGCGGGGCTTGGGGAGCAGCTGGACGGAGTTTGGGTAAGATAAATGTCATACCTTCTATTGTGTCTGTCCATATGAACCTCATTTCATTACTAAACAAACTCTGTTGTTAAGGCATGTATTTTTGTTTTGTTTTTTTGACATGTTTTGTTTAAAATGCAATGTAATTAATATACATTTTTTAACACAGCACTTTGCTGAAAACATGAAATGAGCAAATATATAAACTAATAATTTTTTCATTATCTTGACAAAGGTCTGTCCGGGCTCTTTGACACTGGCCTGCACCATGCAAGCCCTGCAACACCTGATGCCTCCGTCATGAACCTGATTTCAGCATTAGAGTCACGGGGTCCCCAGCCTCCACCCTCTGCTTCTTCTCTTCTTTCTCAATTTCGCACACCATCCTGGCAGACTGGTGAGACCTTCCCACATTCACATTGACAATTAAGACTATTAGAAATCTTTTAAACTAAAATAACAAATTCAATGCATTTTTTTTTGTTAAACAGCATGTTTCATAGATTTTAAGTAATTTGTTATTTGTCTTTCTTTTTCAAACAGCAATGCACACACCTGCTCCTCCTGAACTATTCATCTCTGGAGCCCTTCCTGGCTCTGGGTCATTCCCCTCCTCCTCAGCACTGTCAGCCTATCAGCACCCAGCATCATTTTCCAGTCGTTCCTTCCCTGCTGCATCTCTTTCCCTTCAAGACACGCCCACATTTAGCCCCACATCCAATGGTCTGCTCTCCCCTCATGATCCTCTCCTTCACATCAAGGCCCCTTCACAGTCCAGCTTGGGTTTTGACAGACTCCTATCATCCCAGGGTGCTGCTGCAGCTGCCTACAGAGGCAGCCAAGATCCCACGGGGGCTACATCTGCCCAGGCATCTTCTGCCAGACACCTGCAGTCACACCAGTTCAACTTGCTGTCATCTCAGCTTCAAGACCAGTCCTCACAGCTGTACAATGCATCAGTATTCTCATCAGCCCAGGCTCAACCACAATCCCAGTCCCAGTCCAACTCTGCTCAGGAGCGGGCCGTACCACGCCAGGACAGCGTCATTAAGCACTACCAGAGGCCTACACCTTCACAGTCTCAGCTTTCCTCTTCTGCTGCTCATTCCCTGCAGCACTACCTCAGCTGTGGAGGGGCAGGATACCAGCAGATAGCCACCCACCACAGACATGCTGGCCTTTCTTGCAGCCCGCTGGGTGATCAGAGCCCCTCATCAGACCACAAAAGCTCCTCTCGCACTGAACAGTATCGGCCAATTATACAGCCTCCATACTCCTCCTCTTCCTCATCTTCATCATCAGCAGGGAAAGGTTCTAAAAGCAGTTCCAGCAGTGGCTACTCCTCTGCCAGTTCAGCATCATCCTCACGGACTCCTCACACCCCTCCTTCTGCTTCCTCCACCTCCTCCTCTTCATCATCCTCCTCTGCCACCTCTGGGGCTCATCCCTCAAACTCAATCCCCACCTCCAGCTCCAGCGCTGCCCCATCCAGACAACAACCCCCGCCTCAATCTGCTCCACCACCTCCAGCCCCTCAACAACCACAACCGCAAGCATCCTCTACTTCCACTTCAGCCCCTCAGTCTCTTCCTAAATCTTGCCTGTCAGGCTACGGTTCCCCTGTGCCACCTGTGAAGACCCCCACCTCTGCACTAACAGGCCAGACTCCGCCGCAACAACAGGCTCAGTCCTACTCCCCCAGTCAGCCGCCCACTTCACATTTGACTCAGTCGTATGGAGGCTTTAGTTCCCCACAAGCCCAAGACCTGAGCTCAGGTACTGCGGGGAAGGGCTACGGCAGTCTAGGTGGTCGAAGCCAGTCATACTCTGCTGACATTTATGGCACAGATTCTGCTTATGGTTCACTCCCGTCCTCTCTCGGTGGAGCTGGAAGCCCATCACTAGGTTATGGCGCAACAGGCCACTCACCTGCCCTTTTACGGTCAAGCGGCTCATCAGGAAGTGGGGCATCAGGTGGTGGAAGCAGTGGAACAGGAAATGGTAACTCTGGTTCTGGAGCTGCTGGAAGCAGTCTGACAAATGACAGAGGAGGGACAGGTAGTGGCACTGGTTCTTACCATATTCCTGATTCAAGCCCCTCGCCATCAGGCAACTCTAGTATCATACGACCTGGTTTGCACTCTCCAGTGCCTGCCTGTCCCACTCAATCTCCTGGAGGCCCTGGGTCTAATAAATATATATCATCAGTTCTATCTCCCACCTTTTTGTCTTCCCCTCAAGGATACCCTGACACCAGAGGCCCCAGCTCCCAATCTCAGTCCTATCACAACACCTCCTCAAAGACCAAGACTGACACTTCCATGCTTGGTGTGGGGGCTCAGAGATCCCAAGAAGAAGTTGATGATGACGAGGAGTTTTTGATTCAGCATTTGCTGCAAGCCGAAGCTAGTCCAGCCCCCCAGACAGCTCATCACCATTCTCAACAACCGCCACAGCCGTCCCAACAAACCCAGCCCCCACCCCAGGCAGTTCCGTCAACGACAGAGTCGGGCAAAGGCCTGAGCTATGACATGAGTAAGAGCTCAGAAGAGAGGTACCACCCTCAGAGCGTCATCCGCACACACAGTGCTACATCCAGCAGTGGGGCAGGGTCTGGAGCCATCTCAGGCCTGGACACACAGTTAGAGATGTCACTCAAGAAGCAACAGCATCATCACCAACAGCAGCCGCCGCAGAGGAGCGAGAGATCTGTGGGCAGCAGCCGGAGCAGTGGAGGCAGAGGCAGTAATGAGCAGGTGCACTCCCACCTCCATCATCATGAGAGTCTAAGCTCTGTAGTCCACTATGGCCGTGGCGACCCCTACTCCCAGCACTCTCTCACTCCCCAGCACACCTCACATAATCAGCATGTCTCCTCACACTCTCAGCTTCCTCACACTCAAATGGATCTCCAGAAGAAATCACAGGAGCGTGCTGAGATTCCTTATCCCAGAAAAACACCTGAAGTCCAGCAGCAGCATTCTCAGTCTCAAGGGTCTCTCATTGATTCCCCCACGGATCAGTCACGGCAGCCACCCCACCTTCTTCAGTCAGTGCTGTCTCACACGACTCGGAATAAGCTTGAACCCCATCAGCAGCATCATAAAATGGACTCTCATAGGCAGCACCCACAGCACCATAAAATGGACACCCATCAGTCGCATCAGCAGCATGCGAAGTTAGAGTCTCATTCTCAGCACCAATCACACTCCAAGATGGAGCCACATCAACATCAGCATCACAAGATGGACTCTCACTCCCAGCAGCAGCACTCTATTAGCCAGGCTGTACTGGAGAGCGCTGCTGGGAGACTGGGCTCTTCCAAACACCAGACGCCATCCCAGTCCCAGACCACTCAACTCCAGCTTCAGCTCCAGTCCCAGGCTTTGGAGGTGGCAGCAGCTCACTACAACCACGGCCCGCCTCCTCATCAGCACGAGCAGAGCCAAGTGAAGCAGAGCTCTGTTGTGTCATCTTTAGACATGCTGGAACGCTCGCTGTCTCAGACATCCAGCACAGATGTGGAGGACAGACGAGGAGGAGGGAGTGGGGGGCGGAGCAGTGGTAATAGTGAGCGACACAGACAACAGGAGCAGCAACAGAGGCAGCATCCACCTCACCATCACTCCACCTCTGAGTTGCACTCGTTTTTGTCTGAGCCGGACATTGGCCTGTCCACCCCTTCTCACATGCACCACCTATCGCAGCATCATCCACAAACACAGCAGCACCCTAGCTCTCAGCACCAACACCCCCATCACTCCCATCCCCAGGCCCCACATCCCCATCACATTCCCTCCTCTGCCTCAGGCCATGCTCAACCAGAGCAGCCACCTCTCTCCACCCAGCTCACCCCTCAGCAGGGCCAGTTAGACCAACAACGTTCGGAGCAGCATCAGTTTGACACAGTGAGCCCTGTGGAAAAGGCTGACCAAAATCAACAAAGTAATCGTTTTGTACCGCTGACATCCATCTGCTTTCCTGACTCGCTCCTTCAGGATGAGGACCGCTCCTTTTTCCCTGCGATGGAGGATATGTTTTGTGCTGAAGACTACAAGTCAAGCTGTGCCGGAGGAGCAGGACCAGGGCAGGGGGAGATGAATGAAAGCCATGCGGGTCCAGAGGCTATTGAATCTATGAAAGCAGCTCAAAGTACAGCAACACCGGGAGCAGGAAGTACTGGCAGCTATGACATGATGAGTCACCATGGAAACCAGGGATATGAACCTTACTGTCATGGCCTAGAGGAACCCAGCAACAACACTATGACCCTTGACTTAGACTCCCTGAAAACCCATGAGCTCCCCTCTACTGTGAACACAGAGCAGCTTGGATTAATTCAGTCTCAGCCACCTGCTATGGGTATGGGGGCAAATAGTGCTGGACCCAACAACACTGGTGCAAAGCTGACCACAGGACCAGGAGGGAGTAGTTCTGGTACTGGCTCAGGGGGGCTCCAATCTCCAATTTTTTGCTCCTCTCGTCCTAAGAAGCTTCTTAAGTCTAGCTCTTTCCACCTGTTAAAGGAGCGGCGTGACCCTAACACACTACCTAAAAAGAGTTATGCGCAGGAATATGAGTTTGAGGATGATGAGGACAAGGCTGACCAACCAGCTGACATCCGGTTGAATAGCAGAAGACTTCCAGACCTTCTGCCTGACTTGGTATCGAGCTGCAGAAAAGCAGGAGCAGGTGGCTCTCTTAGTCCTTTGATGGGGGATATTGACTTCTATCACTCATCTGGCTACTCATCTATAGGTTCACATTCTCTCATGCCTCAAGAGGGCCCTAAGAAAAGAGGTCGAAAGCCCACCAGGCCCAAGCGAGAAGGCCCCCCACGACCAAGAGGCAGACCTCGTATCCGGCCAATGCCTGAGCCATACACGCCACGTGGAATGCTCAATGAGATGGGAGGGTCAGTGGGCACTGGAGGAGGTTTCAGTGTAGAAGGACGAGGAAGGGGTCGTGGGCGTGGGAGCAGAGGGCGTGGAGGACGACGAGAGGACATGTACATCGAAATGAGCTCAAAGCAGGAGCACCTGCACCACCATCCCCTTCATCCACAACAGTCACAGCAACAGCTGCACCAACAGCCACCACAGCATGAGCCGATCCCACCTCTGAAGGTCAGTCACACTTAACAATGAGATTTTTTACAAATGCTTGAATACATGAATATTACTTCTGTCTTGTCCGTTCCCTTTTTTAATGTGTATAATAGCAGGTGAATTAAAATATATATGTATTAATTCAGAAGTAAAAATTAAAATGTTTGCTTATACCATTCACATATACATTTTCGTTTTTTCTCTTTCTGAATTCTCCAGATTAAATTACCAATTGGTACAATGTCCTCATCGGATTCTCTGCTGAGGACGGACTCTTTGTCTGGTACTGATCCTGGTATGTCCGATGGCTCAGTGGGCTCGGCTCCCTCTCTGGGTCTAAGCCCCGGACCACAGTGCAGCGGTGATGGCTCCAGAAACCACGAGAAGAACAAACATAAAGGTCACTTGATGAGTGAAACTGTAGATGAGGAAGGCATGGGAGACAGGGTAAGGAAATTTTATTATAACTGTACTTTGCAGCTGATGTCATCAACATTCACTGGGGGTGTAAATCTGATTGAAGGCACTACTCTGTCTGAAGATCTGTTAGAATCTGAATTTTGTTTTAACACAATCTGACCATAAATAACTTTGGAGCTATGACAGGGCAGCTCTTTTGTGCTTTTAAACATATCCATCTTAATTTTATTTTATTTTTTTCCAGTTTGTCACTCACCTTTTTTTGAATCAAACGCGTAAACAGGATCATGAATGCTTGTATTGATCACAAGCATCTGAAGATGTGTTGCTTAAATTAATTTTACATTTTTTAAATTTAATTTTTAACCATGTTAACGTCGGAATATTCTGCCATGGGCATACAGGCAGAACACTAACCCTAACCTTAACCCCAGCGTGATATCATTGCATCAATTGTGTTGACTTATGGCACTTTTTTACCCATTTTCAGGGGGATGACAAGGATTCAAAGGCAGGCTTTGTTGCTTCCTTTTTGGACTTTCTTAAAACTGGGAAGAGACCTCCTGGCCTGGATATTTCTCCTGGAATGGAACATGACAATGGTGAAAGTTCCCCATGTAAACCTGGTGGTCTGCGCCCCCTCTCCCCTGCTCCTCCTCCACCACCTCCTCCTCCTCCTTTTGGGGACAGTGAGGGCAATGGAGGCCTAGCTCTGGGCAGCTGCCCCAGCCCAAAGCGTCTGGAGGACGAGTTGAAGAGGAACTTGGAGACACTCCCATCCTTCTCCTCTGATGAGGAAGATTCTGTCGGCAAGAACCAGGACCTGCAGAAGAGCATCTCCTCAGCTATTTCTGCTCTGTACGACACTCCACAGCTGACCACCAGTCTGCAGCCACCATTGCCACCTCCTCCTCCTCAGCCACAGCCCACACAGGCTCCTCTGACCCCCACTTTGCCCCCACCTGCCCTGAGCCCACAGCCACTACATACTCCTCACACGCAACCACAGTCAGAAGAACAAGATGTCTTGCGAGCTGAGGAGCAGGACACATTGGAGAGTAGAGAGGAGAATGAGCAGAGGAGCATGGGAAGGGAAGAAGAGAGTGACATGACGGAGGAGAGGGAGCCTCAACTACAGACTCTGTGTGCTCCAAAGAATGAAGGTATAGTATGTTTTCCACCCTTTGCATTATAGATGGCACTCAGCTCAGTTGTACCATACTTTTATTTTTGTATATAAAGGACATTTATTTGTTACACATCACTGTACACATCCGAAAGCTTAAAAATCTCTGGGGACAGATTTTAATAGAAATGCAAACATACAACTTGAACTCAAAGTCCAGTGACTGATTAGTTATCATCTTGTATATGTTTCAGAATCTCTTCCTGAAGTCTCCGCAGCCCCAGCAAGTCCTGAGGGTCCCTCTGCGCCTCCCTCCCCCACGTCATCCTCCTCCCCTTCTCACTCCCCACTGCCTCCCCTGTCCCTGCCCTCACCCCCTGCTGTTGCAGAAGTTCCACAGCAGAGCTCTGAGCCTCCCACTTCAGCTCCTCCATCACCGCCAGCCTCCCTACCTCAGCCTCCTTCTACCCCTCCACAACCCCCTGCCCCCTCTGCCCTTCCTGCTCCTTCTGCTCCTCCTACACAAACTCCCCCACCTGCACCCACTGCTCACAAGGAGTCTCGCACACCTTCTCCAGAGTCACCGGCTTCCCCCGAAGAACGCCCCCCACCTAAGATCACCTCACTGCACCTGGCACAGAAGCAGGAAGATGCTGCCATTGCTGGAGAGAGTGAAGAGGATGAGAGCGAAAGTGGAGGAGAGGGCATCTTTAGGGAACGAGATGAATTTGTGGTGCGAGTTGAAGACATTCGCACACTCAAGGTAAATATTTAGTTTGGGAGCTGCTTTAGCAAGTAGCTGGAAACATTTTGTTTAACAGTGGTTTGTCTTTAGCTGGCCCTGCAGACTGGCCGTGAGCCCCCGCCTATATGGAGAGTGCAGAAAGCTCTGCTACAAAAGTTCAGTCCAGAGATCAAAGATGGACAAAGGCAGTTCTGTGCCACAAGTAATGTGAGTTACAATTTTTTTTATCATTTCAAAGCCACTACAATATCTGGGAATGGCTTAAATATATTAAAAATTACAGAATTTATGACAAGCTGGTCTAAGTATTATAACAGGAAGAATGAAATACATTGATCTTTTGAACTCTTTGTTAATTGACTGTTTTGTTTTTTTTACCTTTCAGTACCTTGGCTATTTTGGTGATGCAAAGAGGCGGTACCAGCGAATTTATGTCAAGTTTTTGGAGAATGTTAATAAGAAGGACTATGTCAGAGTCTGCTCCCGCAGACCTTGGCGCAGGACTACGCCACTCAGGTACAGAAATCTTTGCTCCTATTTTAGTTCATGTTCAGAAGAGTACCATAATTGTAGACTGTTGGCCATTTGGTATCAAGCTTTAAAAGCTATCATAACTTCTTGTGCACAGACGACAGAGCCTTCCTAGAATGGCTTCCCCTCCTACAATACAGCCACCAGCTAGAGCCCCTGAGAAAGAGGAGAGAGTAGCTCCACCTGTCCAACGTGAAGCACCGGAAAAGGCCAAAACACCCACCCCTCCCACGTCAACCCCCCCAACAACTATGACGACCACCACCACCACAACAAAAGAATCCAGGGAAAGAAAGGAAGCCCCTGTACAAGCTGTGCCCAAAGCCAAGGAGAAAGACAAAGTGAGAGAGCCTGAGCGAGAGCGTGAAAAGGAGAGGGAGAAGAGAGTACAAGTACAGCAGGAGAAGGTTGAAAAACGTGCTGTGGACCGCGGAAGAGTAAAGGAGGAGCGGAAAACAGTGGAACGAAAGGAAAAGGCTGAGCGTCCACCTAAGACCAAGATGGCCAAAGTGAAAGCGGAGCCACCGCCCAAGAAGAGGAAGAAGTGGCTGAAAGAAGTGGCTTCATCATCAGACTCCGAATCCTCCGACGATGTACCCAGTGAAAATGAAAGTAAGACTGCTCTTTGAGATTGCCATCTTTTTAGGGAATTTGAGTATATATTGAGTGTGCAATATAAGACTTAATTATTTTTTCCTCACAGTGCCTGTTAAGGGTGGTGTCAATAACCGTGCCATGAGGGAAATGTTTAGGAGCTATGTGGAGATGTTGGTGAGCACAGCCCTGGACCCAGACATGATCCAAGCTCTGGAGGACACAGATGGTGAGGACCACAGTAGACACTATTTCATATAGAAGAAAATGTCATATAAACAATCAGGAGTGACTACAACAATACACTGCTCTTCAGAAGCCCATAATCTGTCTTTTCATCAGTTTTTGCCAAAACTGCCTCACTGAATTCTTTTAGTGCATTGGTTATGTGGGCAATTAAATTATTTCAAATTGACTATTCATTTCTAACCATTGTTCTGATCATCCCCTTTAATTATTAACAATATTTTTTCCAACAATGCTATACAGAAAATTCACATTAATATATTTCTTAATCATCACTCTTTCTCTGTTTGGCTACCAGATGAGCTGTACCTTCCCCCAATGAGGAAGATTGACAGCATCCTCAGTGAACAGAAGCGGAGGTTATTGAGGAGAGTCAACATGAGTTCCCAGCACCAGGTAATCACTAATTCTTTGTTTTGCTTCTGATATAGATTATATTGGTTTTAATATGGCTTAAATGTTAAATAGTTGCATTATAACACATCCCTATATTTTTGTTTTTTTTACATCAGTGTAGAGACGTTTTCTTTGGATCCCTTTTTTCCAATGGCAAAAAATGCTTGAGAAGGCGTAGAATGGAGAAGAGCAGAATAGAGCATGTTAAAATGTAGCTCTTTTATCATGATACAAACCAGTTGATACTTTGTTGTGAAGGAAATTTAAGCTCTAAAAATATTAAAATACTGGCAGTATTTTTTCAACACCATTATCTTGGTTTTGTAATTGCAGTTAAAACCATGCTAACCATGCTAATGCAATAACTGCAAATGTCAGTTGCTGAGTAAAAAGTCTCCTGCTGCTGTCTAAATTTCACAAATGTAAATGTTGTTGAGATTAGATTAGCCAACAGGGCATGTGAAACATTATAAATATTTGCAAGTTATTTATCAAGTGTGATGATTTGAGTTATATATTTTTGTAAACTAGAGCAGTGATTTATTTATTTATTAATAATAGTAATAGTTATTGATAGTAGTAGAAGTGGCAGTAGTGGTAGTAGTGGTAGTGGTGGTGATTAGGTTACAAACAATGACACAATAAATTAGTGAGTGCATACTCTGACGTAACCTTTTCATGGCCATTGTAAAACTGTTGTGGCGAAAATGCTTCTTTTATTTACCTAATTTGCAATGGCTTCTACTGTACCTTTTAATTTATGGTCAATAAACTTATGTGTGGAATAACTAGACTTCAGGCCTGTTCAATTCAGGGTTAGAGGTAGGAGATGTTTGCAAAGATGAAAAATATTGCAGTTGCTGCAAAATTATGTGAACTTTGCAAACAATTTTCCATTTTTACATATGGTTTATCATAAAGACTCTTTAATTAAAATGTATATTTATTTATATTTTTGTGCTTTAGTCATTTTTACAGTCCATTCACATTTTGTGCAACACTTAAACTTTCATTCAAGTCATTATGCTAGATGCTAGAAAATATTTGGATATTGTTTTATTGTCACAGACCTATTCCCCCTGAGAGTTGTTTGTGAAACCAATGCCTGTTTGGCTTTTGATGTGCAAACATCATTTTACTGTTTATTTAGAATAAAGTGTTGTTTATAAGTAAATAAACTTTATTATTTGTCTGTGTGCTTGTACAGGAGGTCCTGCACGCATACCCACAGATTATTGTGGATCCTTTGGATACTGGTGTAGTGAGGGTACGGCTTAGTGGAGACTCATACAACCGCAAGACGCTCAACAGAGTGAAGAAGACCCTGCCTAAACCACAGGTAGGTGGCAGTGCAGACTTAACATGGGGCAATAAACAATGATGATCATAATAAAAAAGGATGCCTATATTTGTTTGTGTTGGTATAATCCACATTATACCTACACATTGTGCTGAACAAAGCTACTTATCCATGATGATCTTTTCTAGATTGTTGTTTTAACTTCTAACAAAGTAATGATATTCTAGAGTAGTTGTTTTAAACGGGGAACTTGTACTTGTAGTACCAGTGACAATACAACAGATTTAACTCATTTGTTTACACAATCTGTTCCGTTTTATATCTTATTTGTAATAATTGGATCACCACTACTGATACCTTAAAACTCACAAAACTCTAATAATTTTAATTACGTTAAGTTTAAATTTGTGCATTAAGTTTGTTTCATATGTGTTGTAAAACTTAGATGCTTTGTTTTAATAAAAAAAAAAAAATCTTCATTTTCCTTTTTTAGGACCTTAAACTTTCATCTGAGTCATATCGGATCTACAGTCTCTACCACTCCCTTCACCATTATAAATACCACACCTTCTTACAATGCAAGAAGGAGGTAAGCATGCATACTGTACATATCTTTGCATATTTTTTTACACAGCAAGTAGTTAAACTTGAATAGGTGTTTTTCATAGGCTTGCACCTGCATTGTAATTATGTGTTTATCTGAATATTGTCAAATGATATCCACACATTGCACCTGTTGATGTAATTTCAAATTTATTCAACAGCCTCTTCAAAAAAGAATCATAATTTAAATTGGAGGAGGGCAAATTGCTAATAGGAACAGTCATTTTTCCTGCTCCCATGTAAATTCACCACTAAAGACCTGCATAATGTTGTCCTGCCTTCTGAAAGCCAGTAACAGTCCCACCTTCTGAATGGACCTTTTTCTGAGCTGCTGTTTTCTCTTGCAGACGCACACCATTGAGCAGGCGGCTGAGGACCCCGGCCAAGAGGAGGTGGTGCAGCAGTGCATGGCCAACCAAAGCTGGCTGGATACTCTCTTCACCTCCTTCATTGAGCTGCTCACACTTAGCACCAAAGCCTGAGTCTGCAGCAGACACATGGGAGGAGTATTCAAGTATTAAAAAGAAAAGGACAAGTTCCATTGTACAGCACCCATCCCTCTTCAAGTCTCTAAGATCAGAAGATGATTTTTAAACCCACAATGGGGTCTGTTTAAACGACCTCAGACAGTGGCTCTGTACTGTTTTCTGTTGTTGATCGACTTATCTTTGCTTCTTGAAACCCCCTTTTGGACTTGGGGGCACTGACAAGGGACCCCCCCACATTGAGAATTACACAGTGAAGGGACAAAAATCAAGGAGCTGTATCTACAAGTCAATGGAAGAGCCGCTGGCATCATGTTAACTGTGTGTCATACAGACAATAGTTCAAAGAAAAGCTTACGAGAACGCTTAGTTTTTACATAAATTATTTTTTTGAAAAGACTAACATCAGCTGTTGGCTTTTAAAAAGAGTGGACAAGGGTGAGAATGCTTTTTAAAATGTGTGTGCAGAGGGCGCCTTGAGCAATGTGAACATGGACTCTGGTAAGAAAACATCAAATGTGTTGAAAATGCTCATCCTGTGCAACATGAAGGGCAGCACCAGTAAGCTCTGTGATAATATATAAACACATTTTTATTATTTATATGAGGTTTTTAACTTAACTCACAAGCCGCTGGGTAGCTGCCCTAACATTTGAAATACCATTGAATTGAAACATCTTCAGTAAACAATCATAACCCACATCACCAAGTTGTCTTCCCTCTATACAAAAGAACAGATGTTGGGACAAACATTGTATCAAATACAGTGGGTGTAAAATATAACAAGATAAAACAGAAGGAAGGAACATCATATGGAGAATGGGAAACTCTGAATTTGAACTTGTTGTGTTTCAGTTCAATCATCCTTCATGCAGGTGCGATAGAAAAAAGTGAACTGTTCATTTACTGTGTTGGAAGGAATATAAATAATATTTAAAGAGGAAATAGTCATTTCATTTTTATCATTTTGATGTCTGTGCATACTGACTTATTTTGAAAACAATCTAATTTTCCATAAAAAAAGGAAAAAAAAGATGTGTAAATATTGTACAGTTCTTGATGAAATTCTTTGTCCTTCTGTACATTAACTCTCCTGTATTTGAGAAACAAATAAAATCTGCAAAGAGCACCTACTGACCAGTTCCTCTTCATACGTAGGCCTAGACGGGACACTTTCAGTGGCTAGTGTGTTGATTGCAATAGATCCTTTGTTGATTATCGTTAATTAACCCACTGACCGGTCGGTGGTGGCTTGTAGTAGACGCCCCCTGGCGGTCACCCAGGCGCGCTTTTGTCGACGTCAGTTTTGGAAAACGAAACTGAATGTCTGGGTTTCCCCATAAAGCTTCGCCGGGTGAGTGCTATAAAACGTAACATTTCAAGCACAGATTCACCTGTGAAATTACAAGACTTGTGAAGTCAAGAAGACTGCGCTAACTCCTATCCAGGTAGGACTCCTCATGAGTTATGACCTCGTCTATTTCACAAGCTTTACATATCAACTAGTTCATGTTGTAGTCTTTCCACAGTTAAGTGTGTTTAATTGTGTTGATTACTCTGCAAAGACTTGAGGTAGTCCTATTTTATGCATTCGAGTATATGCTGTACTATCCCTGTTGGAGCTGCTTGGTTCAAAGTGGCCGACTGTAGCTTGTTTAAAATATTGACATAAATGAAAAAGCTAATGAACAGTGGGAGTTGTTTTTGTCTACATTATTGTTCAGTTTCACCCTAAAAGCTGTGCAGACTTCAGCTGGACAAATGTCATATGTTTGAGTCTTGACATAATAAATAACTTGCGTTATTTTCTAATGAATGAACCATCTATTTGGGCCCATTTCCTAAAAGCCTGACCCCTTCCAATCAGTTCTCCTGTGAGTAAAGCAGAGTGTTAGGTTATGTAGGATACAGAGGACCATTTACAATTTTGTAAACATGAGTACTTTAAAAACAGGGATTATTACAATCATGAAATAAATGAATGAACAAAAAAATATATATACATTTGAAATGTAAAACCGCTTTGAATAGGACAACTGCAGAAGCGAGTTGATCTTTAAGATTCAGAGAGTCTACCTTTATTGTCTGACGCTGTTGTGAGTGCCTCTTGTGATGTTAGAGCAGAGATGGCACACTCCAGGCCCCTCCTTATGCCCTGGCTCAGAGAGCAGATAAACAGTCAGCAATATCCTGGAGTAGCATGGACCAACCTGGATCAAACAGAGTTCTCCATCCCCTGGAAACATGCTCTGCGGCAGGACTCCTCGGACACAGACATACTTATCTTCAAGGCAAGAATAGTCAATACCTATATTTTTGGTCAACAAATCCCCAAAAAACAAAACCAAAACTAAAAAAGGGTGTTTCTCCTGTAGGCGTGGGCAGAGGTCAGTGGAAATGGGCGGGCTCATGGCGACCCTTCGGTGTGGAAGAGGAATTTCCGCAGTGCCCTGAGAGCAAAGGGATTCAAAATGGTTTCTGACTGTAAGAACGATCCTGCCAATCCTCACAAGATCTTTAGATGGCCAGAGGACACCGGGTCAAAAGGTAAACCTAGACTGTTTATAGGAGCTTCCTGCTTAAGGTAACTCACAGTGGGGCCTTCGTGATGTTGTTGCACACATTTTAGTTCATGTATCATGATCTAGATCTGGACACTTCTCATTTTAGCCTTTGTTTGAATTAAACAAAAGCCTTTACTTCCATGTAGTCACAAACTCACTATCAAACCTTATCTAGCTAATTCTAACTCATCATAAATAATTATTTTATTGCATATAGAGCTTTGTGATGGAAAATGCCATACAAAGTGTTCAACCACAACCCTTAATTCACACTCACCCGCACCACAGTCTTTGTATTGTGTTGAAATTAAATAATAGATCATTTTTATCCACAGCAAATTCTTCTTTGTCTCCTGATCAAGCCAGACCAGATTTGTATGAAGATCTTTTCCTTCCTATACAAGAAGTAAGTGCCTGTTTTTGTCATTCCTCATACACTTGTCACTAACTTTATATTAGTTTCAGTAGTTACTTTATTATTCTATTTAGATTGTATATTCATGTTTTAATTTGTTTGAAGTACATATGAAATAAATACTTTTGATTCTTATACCATAATTCTTATACCTGTAATGTCCTCACTGATGGACAAATAAAGGTTCTCTTATCTTATCTTGCTGTAATATTATTAACTAAATATATGCAAACTGTAACTGCGTTTCCCCTTTTTTATCTTAGAGCCAGCCGAATTTGGTGGAGTGTGTCTATGTTCCCCACAATGTGTTTACAGGTAAAGTCTTGTTTAGTTAATGTCCCCTTTGCTTGCCTGTGAATGACAATTGTAATGATAACTTCACAATATCTGTACAGATGAGGCAGGAAGCCGTGACATCCTGCAGAAGTGTTTGGAGGACCTGAATATTGGTCCTGAACCAGGTGAAATTCAATGCTATTTTTTTCCTTATTCTGTGCTGCAGCTAAAGCAGAAAGTGAGTATCTAACTTTTCCACAGAGGACTTTGAGCCTCCTCCCGAGCAACAGCGCCTGATGGAAGAGGATGTGATTGGAGCACATGTGTTGCGTGGGCAGCAGCAGTATCCAGTCGCCGCTAAGGCTGCAGTGCATGGAGCTGGGTTGCCGGGGCAACCAGCACCGCCAATGGAGGGGGCTGTAGGCGGGGCATATGATCAGGAGCGGGCCGAGCATTTCCTCCACACCATCAACCAGAGCAATGATGGAAGTCATTTCAGTGAGTAGGAAAGAGCTGCTGTTACTCTAATGCATGGGTTTAGTTCAGTTATAAAATAGCATTTTGTTTCCAGGAACAGTGCCCTTATCAGCTTTATTCACATAATATATTTTATGGTATTTTTGGCACCATCCACTGTTATTCACCCAAATTTAGGTTCCATAATGAAATACAATCAGGTAAATGTGCATGTGGTGATTGATTCTATTTGTTACAGAGACTGGATTTGGGATAAAAGTGTATTACCGAGGAAAGCTGGTGCTTGATCAGCTGATTCAGAATGAGGCAGGGGTGCGCATTGTCTACAGGTACAAACCCACTTATATCAATAGTACATTGCCATATTTATATAAATGATCTTCTGTGTGTTTACTTTAGACCGCATCATGTGGATTGTGCTGTCGACATCAACTCGGGCCTAACCCTGGTTTCTCTTCCGAGCCCTGAAAACTTGCCAGACCAGATTCAGACCAGTCTGACCCAGAGGATCCTGGACTCTCTTGGCTGGCTAGATGTGGGCGTGTCTGGTCACGTGGTGTACGGTCAGCGTCAGGGCCAAATCAAGGCTTATTGGAGCTTCTCAAATTTTGACCAGAGTGGACAGCCTCAAGAGGTCTCCAAAGAGCCACAAGCGTTGTACATGTTTAAAGACTTTGTGAAAGGTAAGTGAGAAGATTTAAATCCTGTTTAATTTGCCATAACTTGTAACTGCTACTAACTACTGTCCTTGCAGGTATATTAGATTTTATACATGGCAAAGAAAGCCCCCCCTGCTCGTTGTTCTTTTGTTTGGGGGAGAAGTGGCCAGACCCTGACAACAGGCACTGGAATAAGAAGCTCATCACAGTGGAGGTGAATGACACAGCTCTGATAAACAGGGGGTCTTACAGCAGGCTGACTTTTGTCCTCCTTACACAACACTCAGGCTGAAGATGATCCCAGAAACTGTTCAGTCAAAAAAGGAGTGGCCTGCTGCAAGATATTGTTGAAACTAAACATACCAATTGTATTTTTGTATCCCAGGTGGTGCTGACTTCAATGGAGATACTGAAGAATATAGCGGTGGGAGGGGGAGCCTCTTCTCTGCAGTCAGTGGAACTGCAGATGTCACTGGAGGAGATGATGGAGATGTGCTGATACACATCTGATGCCATTTCAATATTTTAGGGAGGAAAATAAATATTTTTCTTAATTTTTTAATATTTTAATGCCAACAGTTCTATACAGAGAGAACTAAAATAGTGCTTTTTACACAGCAGTTACACAGTAATAGCCTTTAATGAACATCTCAATCATGTATTAATAACTTGATCTGATGGAATGGGTATTATTCCTGCTTTGATATGCAAAAATATAATTTATTTAATTTAAGTTTACATTACATATCTGTTGAATACTTGCATTTGCCATAATATAAAATAATTACTGTAAAATATATATAAATAATTTGTATATATTTGCAAATCATGACAGACTGCACCAACCCTAACTTTTGTGTCTGACTGAAATTTATATTAGTATGTGTAATGACTGGCTGTATGTCCGCATATGTGTGCCCTTAAATTTAATTGAAGTCAATGTTTACAAATAAATTTTACTTTTCCTCATCAAAATCTGAGTCAGAGTGTCCTTCGTCTGTGATGTTCTCTTTGAGTCCTGCCATGGGAACAAGTCGCCCTTGTGAATCCACCCCCATTGGCTGGATAATGTCTTCTCTGTAAAGAAATAGTCAGTATAGTCAATAATGTTAACTGGTACCGGTTTCAATCAGTTGTGAAGTTTCCAGACCTGGAGAGCTTGCTGAAGAGCTTGATGAGCCTCCTGGCCTCTTCCTCTTTCTCGTCTTCGGACATGCCCTCCATAGGGTCTGGCTGCAGAGCCTCCACTCGCCCTGTCACTGGGTTGATGCGGTCCTTCTGTTGTCGGTACTCCTCTGTGTCTGAGTCAGAGTCACTTGAGTACTGCACACTAATGCTCTGAATATTCTGGCCCCCCAGCAGCCCCCTGGTGGCCAAAAGCCCTGCCGCATTACCATAGCCTGTGTATTTCACAAAGCGTCGTACTAAAGACAGAGAGAAAATAATGAGAGAAGGGCTTATGACAGATAAATATGAACCAAATACTTTGTGTCAGTACCATTTTCTTTGCAGAGGACAAAGATGAGGTCAGCCGCACAGTGTTTCAGGTCTGTGTCCAGGTGAGTCATGAGACGGACAATGCGACTTTTAACTGTTGACCCCTCCTCTGGTCTTTGGGACACATCTCTGAGTGGAGGCAGAATCTGAAGAAGTTATTAAAAAGGTAAATTACAATTAGGTTTTGGTAGAAAGAGAACTAGATAATAATAAAATGAAACCTCTCCTAGTAAAAGAAGTACATGGTTACTTGAATGAATTCAGTGTATGTGTTCTAATTGAGTACCTGGTTTCGTAGGTACTTCCTGGTTTCCCTGTGAGCTCTGCAACTCTCTGTCAGCAGGTTGAGGATGGGGGTCAGCTTCTCCTTGACTTTGTCACCCTGAGACAAAAACGGACTCTTTCACAGTTTGACCAATACAAGTTTCACAGTTGTACCTTGCTCTCACCTGCTCCAGTCGTCGTTCCATAAACAGCAGCAGCTTGTGCACACTGTCCATGTTAACTCCATTGAACTGCTCTGAGCATGGGGTCAGGGGCACATTGAGGAGCACATCAAGACACTGCAGAGGCAGCGCTGACAGCAAATTCACTGTGTGACTGTGGGGTCCAATATAAGAAAATTAACAAAAGCATATTTTGTTTTTTTGTTTTTAGCCCAGAGTAGCATCCTCACCCCTGCAGTTCATCAGTGTCATCTGCCAGTACACACTTCCTCATGAGGCAGAGATGGAGAATTGCCACCAGGTGTCTGTACTGAGCTGCAGCTTCCTGTGGACCAAAAACTTACAAATTAGCACAAGCCTTTTGATCTGTACAGAGGCTTTTATTGCCGGCACAACACTGACTTCTGTAGGCTCCTGACGGTGGGTGCTGAACGTGATGTTGAAAAGAATTTTAAGAATCTCAACGATGCGCTGTGAGGTGTCCAGGGAGATGGGAGGAGCCACAGTGTCCAGTATGCACTGGTATTGATTATTCCACTGCACCTCCAGGCAGCTCTCCAGAGCAGCTGTGAAGATAGACACTCCACCTGCCTGCGAAAGGACCAAATATAATGTTTCAGACACTATGAATGTAATACAATTTTAAGGTGTATGGAGATTTTTAAGGCCCACATGAATCTATATTTATCTAGCTTATATTATTTTATTTAGTTCTATATGTTTAGTCTAAATTTGGAATAAAATTTTAATTACTAGCATTTGGAAACAACTTAATAAATGTTTTTTGCTTGCTATTCATGGTACAGTGTATAATGAATATGATTCCTTTAAAACCCAATAAGCATAATGAACAACATTAAATACAACCTGTTGAAGATGTTTGCCGAGCTCTGGCCGTAAAGCAGTCATCAGAAACATGAGGCGCAGTTCATAAAATTGAACACTGGAGGGAGACGAAGAGCTGATTCCAGCAGACAGCAGCTCTATCAGTCCATTAATCAGTCTGAAGAGACAGCATAGGAGGGGACAGGGGAATATGTTATCTGGACTGAATTAGCAAAGATGTGTACTGCTTTTTCTCCTCTAACATTGGCCTCATGAACATTTGATAACACTTTTCACAACTCAGGTTAACAATACTTCATCCACTTGCACCACTAGTTTTAAACTTATTCTGTCCATATTGATTACTCTGTTTATTTTTTATTGTTTGTATGCCTTTATTTTATCATTATTATTTATATTATATTTTTACTTTTATTATTATTTATACTACTACTACTACTACTACTACTACTACTACTACTACGAATAATAATAATAATAATAATAATAATAATAATAATAAACAATAAGCTGAAGAAAATTCATAGTTTGTGAATTTTGTTAACTGACAATAAAACTGATTCTGATATACTTATGTTTTTTATGTTAAATAAATAATGAAGGTTAATAAATGAGGTTCCATAGTGGGTGTGTGGTGTACCTGAGTGCGCTGAATCTCTCTTGGGCCCAGCTGCTGTTATAGACCACGTTACATAACACCTTCATGGCCTCCTTCCTCTGAGCCTCCTCCGTTGAGCCGCTCTCTTCCTCTGTGTCCCCCTCTCCCTCCATCTTGCTCTCCCGCCGATCCCTCCTGCCTCGCTCCAGCTCTTTTTGATGGGTGCTGCCCCCGTAGGCCTGAGTGAGACTGGGCCGAGGAGTGCTGACCCCATCCATGCTTTCCACATCTCTACTGCCCGTGCTCCCGCCATCCTCCTCTGTGCACTCCTCTGTCTGCTCAACAGTTTCCATGTCATCACTGTCATGGTGGTAGTGGCTGTGTTGGGCCTTGGCTTCGGCAAGGGACACGATGATGTTGTCGTAGAAGGTTGAGTCTGGGTCTGAAGGCTCCTCATGGGTCTCTCCTGTGGTCAGACCAGCGAGTCTGGCCAGAGTCAGGAGGGCGCTGTCAGTCACCAGAGGAGCCAGCACTCTCTTGTCCCGAGACAAGATCCTCAGGCTTCGAAGAGCCACTGTCAGGAGGCTGCAGTTGACTTCATTTCGAATGAAGCCAACCAACACCAGGGCCAAATTCTTGAGAAAAACAAAACATTGGTATTAAGATATACTCATATTGATTTATACTGTGTTTTTAATCAGATTTTTAATCAAAATTTAATCAAAATGTTAATCAAATGTGTTACAATTTAATTTTATTAGGGATTGTTGAAAAGATGCACTATGTAACCTTTCTAATGGAGGATCCAGGTGGTGACGGACTCCCACCAGAAAACTAATAGTGCACCTAATCATCTAAAGAGGCTTTATTTGTTATTTGATATGAATTAAGCCTGAGAATTAAACCTAGAATTAAATTTACTTGTCTGAGGAAGAGGTCCCGGTCTTCTTGTTCATATTCTTCACCATCTGAGTCTGAATCTGTATAATCCCTTACTTTATTCTTCTTAAACTATCAAAGCAGAACACAAATTAATCTTGAAGAAAAACATTATTGCATAGTAAACAAGTGCCCCAGACACTACCTCTTCAAGTCTCCTTTGCTACAGAGAACACACATGAAGGAAAGAGAGAAAAGAAACAAAGTTATCTTCAAATGACAGAGCTGAGGATGGAATATGAAATGTGTCTTAGACTCAATCTGCCTAAGAAGAAAGGATGAGGACAACTGATGCAGCACAATCATTAATCACATCCGATATGAGTGGAGCGCAGAGAAAAACAAAGCTTACTTTCCTGCGATTTCTTTCCTCCTTGTCAAAAAAGAAGCACTGTGCATACTGTCAATGTAACACAACACCAATGTTAGCATAGAGTAAACAAAACATAAGGGCATGTGTGGAGTAACATTACCTCTTTGTTAAACTCTTGTAGATAGAGCTGCACGCTGGCTTTGTCTCTGCTCTTGATGCACTGGATAATCCCCTCCAGATCTACTTCCATACTGCCTACAATCAGTGCTGGTCCAACTAAAACCACAGTATGACAAGAAACACTATTATTATAACAATAATGAATCAACTTAAATTAAAATAAAGGAGAATTGTATGACACTTCCAAAGATGCCAAAAGTTATTATATTACTGAAATTGTTTACCTTTTTGAATAAATCCACTGTTACTGTCCTATGTTTTTCAGTCACAGCAGTCCCAAAGCGCCCTGTTGCACTTGTGATTTTGTTAAATTGACAGAGTCGTCATGCCCTGTGTCCCCCTGCCTCTATAATGTGAGTGTCTCTAATCCCAGGGACATTCAGGAGCTGCGCAGTAGTTATGGCTATAATCCACTAATGGACTCGGGCTTATACCAACAGTGACCCTCTGACCTTTTGCAACTTTAAAACTGTTTTACCACATCTATGTTTCAGGGCTACATTCATGTTCACAGTTACTAGTTACTAGTATATAATAGGTCCTTGGAGTTGGAGTCCTGAGAGAAATACAAAATTGGGTTTATTGGTATCTTCCTTTAGTTTTATTTAAAAAAAATACATAGGATACTCTGTTCAGGGCCATAATGTATGGCCTCATTTTCATCCCAAACAGGACACTGTTTACTTGTATCAAGGGAGATGCTTATATAACGCTTCAAGTACCTTTAAGGCACAAACTGTGTCAATGTACAGTGTAAATGTTCTTTGGCCATGGCAGCAGATATAGCACTCCTCCAAGTATTTGTTCCTGTCTGCTCTTTTCCCCTTTACCCCACTTTGCATCATAAACAATTGACTCCAACCTTTTGCAAAGTGTCTTAACTTGTCCATGGTCTTAAGTGTGTGACAAGATGGCAGTTTAGATGAGTGACAGCTTTTCCTGGCAGGATACTCTACTCTAGTGCCCCAGCGGTGGGTAAGAGGAAGCAGTGTCCGGCCAGCCGAGGCAACAGCTGTGGCTCTGGCCTTACAACAACAGGAAGCACGCACAACGTCAGCGATAGTGAGGGAGAGAAGTGAGGAGGGACCTGGCTCTCAGGGAAACCAGCCTATTGCTCCAAGATGAATTAAACGCACACAGAGATGCAGATATCAACATGTTGTGTGTCCAGAAGAGAAATTACCTCCAGTAACCTCTCAAGCCGGTGCAAACAAACAGTTGTCCCTGACGTATGCAGTCTGGGTCTGTCCTCTTTAATCAGCCTCAAACATTATCAGGCTGTCAGAACATAGTGGGCGGTCTGAACACTGTCACTGAATACCAGCATATAATCAATCATTACAGCTATAGCTTGTTTTTAGTAAAAATAAATAAATAAATAAATGAAATTGTGGGATTAAAATACATAGTATTTCAGGTTGAGCCATGTATAAAAAAGGGCATACAATTTTTTCTTATCCTTTCGAGAGTTGATATAGGAAGTCATCTGTCTCCTATGTGGGTAGGGATTTCCATACTCATCTGGCATGAATTAGAGAGGAGCCTTGGCAGAGAATTTACTGTGCATGTATTTAGTTGTAGGGAAACCACTCTGAATATTATATACAAGTATAATACAAGTTCACAATTGGCCTAAGACCTTCTTCTCTGTGAGACACTAACCGCAATCGTGCAACTTTTGATCCACAAACATACTAAAATAAAAATCTAAAGTCTAAAGAATCAGATTTGGGCTTTAGGTTGGGTTTGTTTCTTATCAAGTAACAGGTGTACAGGCGCATATGTCATTTGATTTTTCAAGCCGTGACAAAGAAAAAGTGGTTTATAAAAACATCATTGTGTGTGAAATCTAATCTCAATTGTCGGTGAAATCATTACAGTTACTGATTAGGCAGTAGTGACTCAGGCTCTATCCCTGACCATGGGCAGACATTAGTCACAGGAAAGGTGCACAATGGACTTGAGGTGGAGGAGTGGGACAGACCATTATAATCTGAGCTCCCATAAAACTCATCGTAATTCTAAATGAGGACTCATGACCGTTCCTAGAGAGATGAGGATGCTGATGAACAGGAGGTGATGACTATACATGTTTAATGATCCTGTATTACGTAAAATTGACCCTTGAGTTAAGTCATATTCAAATGTTGTTTCCGCATTAAAATATACCTGGAGTTGTATTTTGTTTCATTCACACATTTTATCATTTATTATTAGGATGTAATCTCAAAAGCTCAAGATGCTCTATTCCACCTTGTGATGTCATGATGTAATAGTTTAAGTTTACAGCTACCTTTTACCTTTAGTTCAGTAGAGCTAGGCAGTTTCCCAGCTGAATTCATCCAAATGATTCTAGTGAAGATGTACGGAGTGTAAAAACACAGTGAAGCACTTCCTGTATTACCACATGACATCACAAGGTGGAACAGAGTGTTTCCGTTTCAGAGGTTAACACAGCCTAAATATGCAGGATTTGTGTGAATGAAACAACTACAGGTATGTGATGAGGAAACATTATAACATAAATCAGAAGAAAGTGTAATATAGTATAATATATAGATAATAACAGTATACTAATCAGACATTACCAAATCATGAATGCCACTGATCTTCTTACATATTTTAAACAGCATGAGGGCATGGGCTCAGACAGCTTTCTCCACCACAACACGTAAATATAAAAAGATGAATAAAAGGCCTATCCATTACCATTACTGCCACATTATTTGTTTCTTTAGTAAGATTATAGGATGTTGTTTACCTCCTGTAGTTGACCTATGAAGGACATTTGAGAAATAAACAGTGTGAAGGGTAAAGTGACTCAAGGGAAAAGTTACAGGAAAATTGAGTGGTTATTTCGGGCCTTGTGCACTTCCTGCAGGTGATGGAAATGAAAGAGTTCTTTTCTAGAACAATTGCTTAGCTCGTGAGTGCAGTGAGTGAGGAGAGGGATGCAGGAGGAAGCAGAGGGGGTCAGGGGGAAGAGGGTCATGAGGAGTTGACATAGGATCAATGTAAACATCATGGGAAACAGTGTAATGGGCCATTTCATACATATATACACATTGTTTTGTTTGGCATTTCAGGGTTGTTTATGAAACAGCCATGGTCTTTGTAAATAAAGAATAAACCTGCCATCATAACTCACCGATAGCGTGGGAGTTGCTCTGAACGTGACCACACCCCCTCGCTGCCCATCACATTATAAAAGGACCTGTGATGAGAGAAGCTGACATAAAAACATCCAAGTCTCCACGAAGTTAAACTACAACAAAGATTTGATGGTTCACTCCAAAAGACTCAGCGGGTTTTTGCATTTTGAATTTGGTAAGTCTGTTTTAGATTCTTTGTGATGGAATTACCCATGTTCTCTCATTGTCTCATGTTTAGAAGTAATTGTGCAAGTTTTGTCATTTGTAGCACTGCGTGAATTAATCTATTTTTTTTTAGAATATCTTATATTAACAAAAAGGGCAACAAATATTTTAATACTCAACATCTTAAAATGGGGGTTACCAAATTTTTCAAGTTGGAACTCCCAAAATACCATCTAGGAGGGCCTTACAGTGAAATGAAAATTACAGCAGTAATAATTTCAAGTGGGAAATCATGTCATATCAGGATAAATATTGTTGATTTGAATGGTTTATTTTGCTTCTGAGCCTAATTTCACAGTTTTAATTAAATAATAAATTAAACACAGTATCACATTTATTTTTACTATATCTTGAACTCATTTCTCTAACCCACATTTTGGAACCACTTGTGCATCATGATTTTGTACACAAATTTTACAGTTAGACATTTTCATCATGCATATATTCTTTTCATATACTAAACAACTGTCCACTTGTTACAGGCCTGTGCGGTATGGAGATAGCCATTCTTCTGCTGTTAACTGTGCCTTTCACCACTGCTGTGCCAGTCTCTTCCATTCAGAGGTGAATTATTTTGTAATGAGAACAAAATCTGCCATCTTTGTTCATTTTAGTTCTTACCATGTGTTTTTTTTTTTTTTTAATCTGCCTCAGATCTGCTTCTGTGACCTCAGACAACACTGTGCAGGGGTCAAGAGTGGAGAGTTCACAAGATGATCACAAAACACACCATGCTCATGCTTTGAAGATCATCCCATTTCTATCTGATGACAGCCAGTCATTCAGGTATACACTGAAACACAGGTACAAGGTGTTAATTGTCAAAATAAAATGTAGTAAAAATAAAAGAAAGCCCTCCACTAATACAGGCAAATCCTTGACAAATATGATCAGGGAAAGGAGATCTGTTAGCTTTTAAAACTGACATAATGACATAAAACTACACATAGGCAATATGACACACACAAAAAAAGTTTTTATATAGATTTTCAATGACATTTAACTTACTGTCTTACTCTGACTTGCCTCAAATCTGAACTCTGCCGCAAAATCACACTATTGACTATTAGAAATGATCACTCTCTAGCTCAATCTAAAATTGTATTAATAGCCCTGCCCTACATAAAATTCACTGAAAAAAATGTTTCACATCACATTTCTAATAAATACTTGTTTAAATTTCAATTTCTTTGTAAATCTGTGAATCAGTGAACAAGAAATATTCCATCCATGGTTTTCAAAAATCTCACATTTACCCACTTTTTTATAGGTCTATAGGATTTAAAGATAGATAAATGCACCTCATTCTTACGTGTTTCCTCTTTATGGTCAACAGTATGTCAGTGAAGCTTCGTCCACGCAGGGCCCCTCAGCGTGGATGCCAGCTGGGGACATGTCAGCTCCACAACTTGGCCAACACACTCTACAACATCAGCAAAAAGAACGGCAAAGATGAGTCAAAGAAGGCCAATGATCCACAAGGATATGGCAGATAGCTTTTAGGGAATATTATTGTTACACTACATTATTACATGACTGAGGCTGGGTCTCTATTATTTAAACTGCATACAACTTGTCTGTGTGATCGGACTGTCTGGTACTGTACAATGAATGTAAACTGTGCAAAGGGGGGGTCTGGACACAGTGGGATAGTTAGTCATACTATATTTATATAATTGCCTATAAGTATAATAAATTATGAATTATAAAATTTTATGCAGCGGAAATGTGTTTTTTTTTTTTTTTTTTATCGTATGCAGTCAAAGCAAGCTGAGTACTAGGTATTATATTATATTCAAATGATGAAACATTTGGACAGTTGCTATAGCAATTAAAGCGCCCAGATCGAGCTAGTTCCTGATCTATGGTAGTGTTTCCTCATCACAAACATACCTGGAGTTGTGTTTCATTACATTCACACGTTTAACACACAAACCTTGCACATAATTAGGTTAAGTTCTTCTCTCGAACAGAAAATTCTCTGTTCCCCCCTGTGATGTCATGTGGTAATACAGGAGTTGCTCCACAATGTTTTTAAAACTCCATCCATCTTCACTAGAATCATTTGGATAATTTCTGCTCTAGAATTGCTGAACTCTACGGGATAAAGGGTAAAAGTTAGCTGTTAACAGAGCATTTTGAGCTTTGAAAAGT